AAAACCTGCGCTCGCGCTTTTGCGAAACTTTCAGAATATCGCAATGCTTTACCATGTTCATGGACCTCTTCCAAGCCGGGGCTCGCGCGCCGCATGCCGAAATCATTCGAACGCCCTTGCCCGCGTGCTGGGTGGGGGCACGACCAGTGTCACATATTTCCACGCGGCTACTATCGCACGTCGGTCGCGCGCGCGTGTCGAACTCCTTCCAAAACCTCCAACACAGACGCGAAGACGCCGTCATCGTCGTCGGCGTCATCAGCATCGGCACCGTGGCCTTGTCGTCGTCGTTGCCAACATCGTCACCATCGCGACTATCAGCATCGAGTCTACCGTCGTCGACGTTGCCATTGTGCCGCGCCCGCCCAACTCACCGACTCGCATCGAAGTGCCCGCTGGAAAGTGCCCAGCGGTTAGCGCCGAGGCGGCCGCGTCGGCCGCGCCAAACTAGCTGGCCACTGTGCGCGCGAGCATGCGCGAGCTAGCGCGACCGCGGAGATGCACCAGCCAAGGCCAAGCACTCATCGCAATCGCCTCCGCAAGGGCTTTGCAAAAGAAGTTGCGAGTGGGTGGGTGGGATGATTGCGCGAGCAGTGGAACAGACAACTTCAAGTTCGGCAAAATGAAACTGCACCACTTGCTGCACGACCCCACTTGCACAACATGGCATGAAACGCCTATATAGCGCGACATCGAGCATGACATCGATTGCACAATAGCTGTACTGTGCCACATAAAGCGCACAACCGGCATTGCACCACATAGGTTGCACCACATACAGTGCACAACACAGATTGCACAACCTGTATGGAGCAGGGAAGACTGCACCACTTGGGTTGCACAATATATAATGCACCACCCGATAAGGACAACACATGTTGGACCACGTTGACTGCACCACATAGACTGCACATCATAGTTGGCTAGAAACGCACTGGTTGGGATCCGCCGTGGCTACTCTGCATATGTATATGTTTATACACGCATATCTATATGTATATCGATACATACATATATGTGTAAATACACATGGGTGCATAGTGGAACCTTCTGGCGCGCTCGAGTTCTAGCCGATCGCAACGCCCCTGAACATTCGAAACATCCCATCGCCACACGCGATCGCAGTGCGAGAGGGCCGGAAGAGGGGGAGCGGGGCTGCGCCAGGCCCCCTAGGGGCCTCTAGATAGAGGGCCCGCGGCGCGATGTCAACACGCGGAGAGGGTGGCGTCGAGAGCTCGAGGGGCGAGCTCACGGGGGCCCCGCTGGGGGGGCGGTCGGGGGCCCGCAGGGTGACACGCCCGCGGCGCGAGGCTTCTACACTGCGGACTGGGAGCACCAGAGCACCAACCCCCAACAAAAAAAACGCGGTGGCCACGCCGTGTGGCGAGTCGGTGTGGGGGTTCGGGGTCGCCGCATGGTTTCGGGACTCGGGTCGGTCTCCGAGGACGTCTCGGGCGACTGGGCCTCCAAGGCTTCAGACGCGTGCGGTGATGGACCGCGCGGTGAGGTTCTTGGGGATTCCGAAGTCACCACGCGGTGCCTGGCCCCTGGCAAGATGAATGCATGTCCTCTGCGGTGGCAGCGTGGGCGACCTCAGGGCTGCCAGACGCCGAGGCGAACGCTGACATTCTCTTAGCTGACCCGGTACGCACCACCACGCCAGGCGAACGACTCAAGACGCGGACCGTCACCACGCGGCCCCGGGGCCCCCGACGAGCAGCAGGCGTGTAGGGTGTCGGAGGCTCGGGGAGAGCACGCGACCTCCGCGTGCTGCCTGCTCCCGCCCCCCCCCCCCGGAGCACTTCCGCTCTGGCACCTCCGCTCGGGGTGTTCTCGGGGCCCCCATCCAGGACACTGCTGGCCAAGATGTGGCGCATCCGCACCTCGAGACAACGGCGAGTGGAGGGCGGTTCGACCCGCGGCTGCAGTTCCTTTCTCGGGCGCGCCAGTGCCCCCCCCCCCCCTCCTCCTCCCGCGGTGCATCCCGGCGTGATCTCTGGCTGTCAGCTTTCTCCTGCCGCCAGACACGGGGACGTCCGAGTCTGAACTGCCCCTGGATCCGTGCCGTGGCGGACACGCGCCTCTCTGGCCGGTGCGTCGGGCAAACGCGGCGCCATCGATCGATTGATGCCCGGTGTCCTTGCTCGCGATAGCGACCGTCACCGGCCCCGGCCGCCCCACCCCGCCCTCCCAGGTAACGTCACGATTCGCGTTGACGTCCGAGCTGTCTCTGGTTGTGCCTACGCTGGCACGAAGCGTGACGTTACCGGCCCCGCCCCTGGCCCCTCCCCCGCTGGTAACGCCCGCTGAGAATCGCCCGTGGATAGAAGAGGGCTCTCCAAAGCCCCCGAAGAATGTGGGGCCTGGAGTGGTCCTCCTTCCTCCGCCGCGTGAGGACCGCGGCGCTGGCGCTCCTCCGCCGCGTGAGGACCACGGCGGAGAGGAGGTGGGCCGGTCTCCAATTTGGACGCGCGACATCGCTACGGAAAGAATGCGTGCGATGCCCAAGAACAAGCGTTGACCACAACCGACAACGGCCGCTTCTGGGCAACTAGCCTTCTGTCTCAAGTAAGCGTCGCCCGCAGCGACGCCGACAGCGAACCCTGCCCCAAAAAGGCAGGAACTGCCATCGGTCTTCGTACCCATCCATCCCGCACCCTTTTCGAGCGTACCGATCCACCCGCCCTCGACGACAGACTGCCCACCTGGGCTCGGCGGCGAGCGAGGGGGGAAAGTGAGAAGGATAGGGCCTTCTGAGAAGGCTCGGACGCCCCCCGGCCTTCTCAGAAATGTTGTGAGCCTTGCCCGGAGACAAACGCAGCTCGAGAGAGGCGCGAGGGCTCCTGAGCAGCCCTGAGGCGCGAGGGCTCCTGAGGAAGATACCCTTACTCGCAGGCGGCCAAAGGGGGGGCGAGCCGAAGATGAGCAGAACGCCCTTTAGCAAAACGCTCCGTTGAGGAGAACAACTATCGTGTTGGGAGGAAGGGTTTGGGAGGATGAAGGGTACGAGCAGTAGCATCCTGGCGCAACCAAACACGATACCTCTGGCCGCCTGCGAGTAAGGGTATCTTCCTTTTCTCCCAACCCCATCCTCCAAACCCGATTGTTGCCTTCCTGACCTGTGGCGAAAGCTGCCAGGGACACTCCACGTGCGCACGGCACCGCGCCCGAGAGGACCACAGCGGGCTGGCTGTCCGACGTCCCAGAACAACCGACTGTATCAAGCGAGACGCGCGTCGATCAGCGAAACCGACTGGGGACTGCACCAGCATACCCGAATACCAATGTCGAGTGAACCGGTGCAGATTTCCTGAGTCAAGTTGTCTTGGTCGGCGCTCTCTCCAAGCCCGAGAGAAGTGCGGGGTCCACCTGCCAGCCTGCTCCGATTATCAACAAAAGGGCCCCAAACCCTTTGGGAGGGGGCCTAAGTTAGGAGGGCCAAAAACTTTGGGGTAGGGGGTCCTCCCTGCAGATGAATCAGACCAAGCCGCCCAGATCTAGTATCCCTGGTGCAAAGGCGGGAACCTAAGTGAGGCCACGCCTTCACTGTGTTAGTAGGGTATGGGGGTCGTCTGTTCTCGACGATGCTCTTCCTGGGAGCATGGAGACAAGCGGTCCCACACACCACCAGGGACCACCAGCGCGAGGAGCCAGAGGTGGCCCCCCCGGTGGCGTGGTCTCCCCACCCTCGCTCGAGACATCCCCCCGGCTTGGGGAGGCCTCTCGTGGACCCCCTCTCTGGAGGTGGACTCCCCGGGTGGCGGTGGTGCCGCTCCTCCTCCCCCTCCTCCTCCTCCTCCTCCTCCTCCTCGCCCTCCTCCTCCTCCTCCTCCTCCTCCTCTCGGCCGCGGGGCTCCCGCGAGGGGCCGCGGCGCGGGCAGCACACCGGGCACGCTGCACGCCCGCGGCACCGCTGCCAGCACCGTGCGCGCTGCGAGGGCCCGCCCGGAGGCGGCCATGCCCCCTCGACGTGCGGGCGCGCAGCCGTGGAGCGAGCAGCGCGCACGCGGGTCGGAGCTCACATCACCTTGCGGGCAATATTTATATCCATATCCAGTGCGTCTTGGACTTTCTTGGAAGGGGCGCCGCAAGGCCGAGGCGCACTGCATATGGATAACAGTTGAGCCTTTTGGAGGCAGATTATAATCCATATCCAGTGCGCCTCATGTTTCTTGGGAAGAGTGTCCGAAACTCCAAGACGCAGTGGATGTGGATAAAGACATTGCCCGCACACCTGAGTGCCACGGGCACGTGTGCATTCGAGCGGACAGGCTCCACGTTTCGCAGACGGTGGTGCCGAGGGCGACTTTTCAATTCGGCTACGGCTTCTCTGTGCGCCCAGCGTCTGCGGCGGGGTCAAAAGCGAGCTCGCAGAGGCTCGATCTGGCAGGCACGGCTCGACCTGAGCGTCCATCCTCGGCCTCCTCTCGCTGGTCCTATGCGAGGGTCATCTTACAGGCTGCGATTGGAAAACAAACTTCAGAGCTGCCTCGCCACGCCCTCCAGGGAAAGCCCGTCAGAGGTCCCTTTCGGCTTCCTCGCGGCACCGCAGCAGCGCGGAGACTGCCTCCCTGCTCTGGCGATGACTCGGGGCAGCAAACGCATTCGGAGGAGAGGATGAGGGTGGAACCAGGTGGATGAGGAAGTGGAGGAGGACGACGACGATGATGAGGAGGATGAGGAGGAAGAGGAGGAGGCGAAGGAGCAGAAGGCATCGGAGAGGCTGGGGTGGGACCTTCGACTGCCCTCTGGAGTGCCCCTGACCCCTGTAGGAGGAGGAGGAGGAGGAGGAGGAGGAGGAGGAGGAGGAGGAGGAGGAGGAGGAGGAGGAGATGAGGAAGACATGAGGACAATACAGGACAAGGCAACCTGCGAGCCATAGTTCGACGGCCAAGATAATTTGGATTACGTGGGCCTGTATTGCGCACCATGGAAGCCTAACAACGGCGAGGAGCAGCATCGGGAGCAACACGAGGGCGAGCAGGGGTCTCCCAGGACCCTCACCGGGCCTCGCTGACGCGCCGGCGGTGCGGTGTGAGCCACAGGTTGTGCGAGTTCTGATCCTTGGAGTTGCAGACCGACATCGTGATCGTCCGGCTGTAATGCACCTCCGTGTTGTCAAACCAAATTTGGGACCACACGTTTGATGAAAACGAGAACGGCATGCAAAAACCCGCCGACCCTGTGAGCGTGTGTGTGAGGCTTTTCCTGTTGAGTCGTCGTCGTCGTCGTCGCCGCTCGCCTCCCTTGACGCTTTCCCGTTTGAGCCGTTGTCGTTCTCGTCGTTGTCGCGGTCGCCACTCTCCCCCCTGTCCTTGTCTGCGTGCCTTCCTCTTGCAACGTTCAAGCCAGAATGAAATCGAGCAACGTCGTAATCGAGTCAAAGGCCCCCTTCCCTTTGATCCCTCCCCCGGCTGGGGGCCAGGAGGGGCGGGGGTAGAGGGGGGGTCCCTGGGGGGTAGCGGGGGTGGGTCCCCTTCGATTCCTTGCCTCCCAGGCACCTCGGAATCGCCCTTCATACTCGGCGGCACTGGCCTTAAGCCCCTCACCATTGCAGGACATTGTTTTGCGCGTGCCCTCGCACCTTCTCCGCCTCCTCTGGGGCAATCGTGAAGGTGAACTGCTGCAGCAGCATGGTGGTCACGAGCTTCATCTCCAGGATCGCCATGTCCATGCCCAAGCAGATGCGGGGCCCGGCCTGGAACACCGGGAACTCGTGGGGCGGGGGCTGCTGGAACGGCACCCACCGCTCCAGGCGAACCTGCTCGGGGTCCTGGTAGACGGCGGGGTCGCGGCCCATGCCCCAAGGGAAGTACACGACCTATAAGTGCCCAGAGCGGGCCCAGGGAGGAGGAGGTAGGGAGGGAAGGAACCACAGAGCAAGGAGGAGGAAGACCAGGTGGATGGCCTGCAGGCGGGAGGGAGGATGCGGGAGGAGCAGGAGGCGGACAAGACTTGGGCGAAGAACGCCGAGGAGGAGGAGGAGGAACGATGAAGAGAAGGGGAGGGAGGGAGGGAGGGAGGGAGGGAGGGGAGGAGGGAGGGAGAGAGGGAGGGAGGGAGGAGGAGAAGGAGGAAGAGGAGGTGGCAGTGGAGGAAGGGGAAGACCCTGGTGCCCGCGGGCACTGGGGTGCCGTCCGGCAGCACGTCGTCGACCATCGCCTCCTTGATGTTCACAGGCACTGGCGGGTACAGGCGCAGGGTCTCGTACACGAGCGCGTGTAGGAGGGGCATGCTGGACAGAAGAAGAAACAGCAGCATGACCACAAACTCTCGGAGATTGCTTGGATCGGCGCTGTGACCCCCTCGCGCGCGGAGCGCCGCCCGGGGAGGGTGGCCGAGCGTCGATCCAGGAGCGCCGCGCGGACCTCCGAGAGCCTGAGCGTGCAGCTTTTCCCGCTTCTGCTGGAGTGGCTCAGCATCTTCAGCGTGGGCACGGTACCCGCGGGGACGCACCTGGTGGGGGGCCACAGAGCAGACCATGAGCATAGACGTCGGGCGCCCGCGGGCGGCTGGGCTCCTCCGCTGACGCTGGGCCCCCTCCCCGCGCACGCGTCCAGGGCGGCGCGGCAGACGTCCACCCCTGGCGCTGAGGGCGCGCTGGGGAGAGGGGGTGCGGGAAGGGCCGTCGAAGAAACTGAACGTTCGAAGCTTCGTTCAGAGGGACCCCACAAAGGTCCACTGGGAGCAGGTGTGTGGATCAAGCTATGCTGAACGACGGCCATCGCGTCCGCGGAAACATCTTTGCATTCTCCAACGGATGTTCATGTGCGCTTCCGCCCTCTCCGCACCGGTCCACTTCCGCCACGACCTGGTCTTGGATGTGGTCGTGGGTGGCCAGTATGTCCGCCGCCGTACTGCGAGGCACGAGTTGCAGCCCTCAGGTCCCCTGTAGTCCTCAGTCTTCAGTCCTCAGCATTGAAAATGAAGGAACCCAGATCCCAAAATCTTGAAACTCCCAGGGCTCCCGGCGTGTCTCCCGGGCCACAGCGCGTCCTTGCGCATTTCGGATCCAAGAGCTCCCAAAACGGGCAAAGAGAGACCCGAGAGGTCTCCGAGACGGTCCAAGGCCTGGTGGCGGGATTGGCCGAATACCAATCGTATCAGCCGCCCCCGTTGGCTTGCCACAAGGGTGCACGGCGTGCCAAACTTCTGAATGGTCTCAATTCATCCAAACAAATTCCCTGTAGGGTCTCGGCCAAACCCGCCGGACACCCGAAATACCAGGTCGGTTAAGATTCGTTCGATCCAGATGCATGCAATATGATTTAATCTTGCCCCAAAGACGGCCAAGGTGGCCTCCAAGACGGCCCAGCATGCACCCAAGAAGACATAAAATGGCCTCTAGATGCCCTAGGACGGCCCAAGAAGCTCCAAAGAGGCCTCCATGGCGGCCCAACAGGGCTCGACGCTGTCATTCAGGAGGGGACGAATATGCCTACATCAGTTTTTTTGCTGGTGTTTGAAAGATTGTGGCGATTGCTTCTTTTTGGCTTTTCTGACACCTCCTCCTCCTCCTCCTCCTCTTCCACCGACTGCCTGGACCACAGCCCAAGGCCATTCGCACCACTGGGCCACCGTGCCTTTCAGGGTGGTGACTCCAGTAAACTGGGCCCATTGACGGGGCCAAGGCGCCCCAAAGCCATGGTACTTCATGTCCTCCTCATCCTCATAATCATCATCATCGCTCTCCTGATGCTTTGCCCCACCCTGCCCCCAACATGTTTCTCGAACGGTTTCCCCGGCTCGGGGAGCACGTCGTCCGATTGTTTGTCCAAGATGTTCGTCGCAACGTTCGGCAACATCGGCGCTTCCACAAGACAGGGTGCGGCGGTGATTCGCCGCCAGCGCCTCTGATAGAACATCCACGACAAGGCGCAAGCCGTGGTGTCACGGCCGGCGATGAGGAAATTACCGACCATGCCATGGAGGACCCGCGTCGCGTCGCTCCTCGGCAGCTTCTCCTGCTCCAGCGCGCGCAGGGTGAGCGCCAGCAGGTCCTTGCGCTCCCCCTTCGCGGGGTCGTCGTAGCATCGGTCTATGATGCTGGTGGACTCCTTTCGGAGAACACATGGCTTTGCATCGGGCGATCCCCACCGACTCGGTGGGGATGGCACCCTTCTGCGAATGCTCTCTAGTCTGATAATGCGCGTTACTGTGGCCAAGCTGCGCTCGGCGCGCACATCTCGTTCGATGAGACGCCGTGACCCGGTCGAAGTTACTCGTCCGGGTTCTGTTCTGATAAACTCAAATTGGGTTGTTCTGTTCAGCTCTCGACGGGGCGGCGTGACGTCGTGACGCATGGTACGTTTCATAGGTTGTCCGATCGATCATTGCTGCGCTTGTTTGTTGCTGTGGCCAGCCTGGCCTTGGCCCGCATGCCGCGTTTGACAAGACGCCGTTTGTCGCTCGCTGATGGCATCCGTTCTGCTATGGTACGCACTGCGCAAGTCTGGACACTGTAAGGATATTATAAGCCGTCATGCCATTGTCTATTCTCCTCTGGAATGCGATGATACACCACGTCTTACTATGTTGTGTTATGCCCGACACGCTTCCCCAATGGTCTACCCAGCAGTGTTCAGAATGCACGTGTGCAATCACTGGCTAGCAATAATATGCTAGGTTCGCGTGTGGTCGGATATAGTTCCTCCAATGTAAACGGAAAATGAATGTGTGCTCTAATATTGCACGATTCGTGAATCGGTTATGACATGTCATCAGATTCCAAAAATGCACTCATTCTCTGGTATTGCGCTCCCGTTATGTTCGGAATTCCACTGTTGGCACACATTCGATTGCATTGCAACAAGCTGCATGTATGTTGTGTTTTGTGCGTTGGAGAGTTTGTGAAACCGTGTGATATGCGATGTGGTTGTCTGATGTGTTCGCCCCTTCCCCCCCCCCTAGTCTAACAAGGCTGCGGTAGGAAAGTCGTAGATTGCTCTCTGCTTTGTTCTGACATATGAAATGCGAGTACTTAGCATGGCGCTGGATTGTGCTATACAATGCCATGATATGTTATTGTTCCTTCAATTCGCACATGCTAATGTCTACGATGTGTTGGTACAATCGCCGTTGAATTTGCGGTGGTACGCAATACAGCATGCTATGGTATGTTCAGGTGTGCTCTGACATGCTCTGGTCTGTCACAATACGATGTGTGCATGGTCGGCGATGATCTTCTATGTGAAGCAGTGGTATGTGTTGCCTTGGTCTGTCAAGCTGTAGCTAAATACCGCCTGTCGCACTATGGCACGATGTGCTGTGATGTGCCCCAAAAATTTGATTATGGTATGTTTTACTGTATTGCCATATTCACATTCGAAAATGTCTTTCGCTTCTATGTTATACCGTATGACGTACCGTTGAGGTGACAATAGTCGACACGGCTGCAGTGTTCTGGTGTGTGCTCTTATGTCTTAACACGGTCAGAACAATTCGGTCACACTGTGATATGTTCTGCAATGTTGAGTTCTGGCCGATGATGCGACTTAAAAAAATGCTATACGATGCCATGCTATGGAATGTTGCGATCCGGTATGTGATATAATTCTATGCTGTGCTATGTGCAGCAAGTTGTGCGACGTTCTGTTGTCCAATGGTAATCAGATTAATCATGGTGCACTCCTGCACTGTATATTGTGTTCGCTGCCGCAGTGGCAGCAATAATAGAACAATACTGTGATGTAATGTTATGTTGTGTGATGCATCGCTATGCAATAATCTGACTTGTTCTGATATGATATGGTAAGTAATGTGATTATCGTTATTCCAGATGTTGCTATGTCACGACGTCGTATACTATGCTCTGCCATATTCTGCTATGACGTATCATGCCATGCTCTGTTCACTATGCTATGTGATGGTTTTCTTCGTGCGAAGCGGTTCTGTTTCGCTCTTTCATGGTGGTCTGTGGTATGCTATGTTCTGTGCTGTTGTGTGATGCTGTGTTCTGTGATGCTCGGTTGTGTCATGCCAGTGTCTGGTATGGTCAGCCATGTTATGCTATGTTGCGTTCTGTGGTGCTCTGTTCTGTTCGTCGGCGTCGCGGGGCTCGGGAGACTCGGGGGAATCTCAGGGAGACCTGTGGATCTGACGGCCGCTGTATGGCGGGATGCTTGAGGGATGCCTGGTGGACCTGGGGATCTGGCGGCCGCGGTGTGCAGGATGGACGGGTCGGGAGGTCGGCACTTGAAATCTGTTGAATCGTCGTTCGAGCCGAGGCACCTCTGGCGCCGCTCTTGGCGCGCTCCGCGCGCCAGGAAGGGCGTCCACGGCCAATCCAGTAACTATGGGCGGCCCTTCGGAAGTTTAATGCTATGGCATCTCTCACCAAACAGCTTGCTGAGAGGGGTGCTGTTGTGATGGACATTGGTTGTGGCCGAGGGGCCATCTCGCTTGGGACATCCTCATCATTCTCGTTTCCAAGTCGCTCGCTTGGTTCTGGCCGAGGGACCATCTCGCTTGGGATTGGGCGTTCCGCCCGGGAGATCCTCGAGACTCGGAGCCCCGAGGAGCCGCGCGAGAAGTGGTCCCACGCTGTCGCCGGAGACATCCTTGCAATTCTGCTCTCCAAGATGTCGCGCGCGAGGTGGTCCGGCGCGTCTCGCCTGAGACATCCTCGCCACTCTGGGCTCGGAATCGCTGCGCGAGAGGGGGTCTTCTCAGCTCTGGGCTCCGAGATGCCGCGAGCGAGGTGGCCGGCCCGCTGCGCCCGAGGAATCCTCGGAACTCTGAGCTCCAAGATGCAGCGCGAGATGTAGTCTGGCCCGTTTGGCCTGAGACATCCTGACAATCCATGGCTTTTGAGATGCCGCGCGCAAGGTGGTGTGGCGCGTTTCGCCTGAGGCGTCCTTGCAATTCTGATTTCTGAGATGCCGAGCGCGACGTGATCCAGTCCGTTTCGCCTGAGACATCCTCGCAAATATGGGCTCAGAGATGTCGCGCGAGATGTGGTCTGGCCCGTTTCGCCTGAGACATCCTCGAAATTCGAAGCTCCGAGATGCCGCGCGCGAGGAGGTCTGGCCCGTTTTGAACTGAAACATCCTCGAAACTCTAAGCTCCGGGATGCCGCACGCGAGATGGTCTGGCCCGTTTCGCCTGAGACATCCTTTCGACTCTGAGTTCCCAGATGCCCCGCGCGAGGTGGTCACGCCTCTTTCGCGTGAGACATCCTACCAAAACTGGGCTCCGAGATGCCGCGCGCGAGGTGGTCTCTTTGGCTCTGATAGGGAGGAGAGGGCGGAGGGAGCTGGGATTGGACCCAAACGACCAATTTGATTATACTTCTGCGGTCGATCTGTGCTCCGGCAGGGGCCTGGGAGCTGCCTGTGAGACATCCTCGTCACTCTATCCTCCTCCTCCTCCTCCTCCTCCTCCTCCTCCTCCTCCTCCTCCTCGTCCTCCTTGTCCTCCTCCTCCTCCTCCTCCTCCTCCTCGTCCTCCTCCCCCTCCTCCTTTTCGTCCTCCTCCTCCTCGTCACTCTATCCTCCTCCTCCTCCTCCTCGTCCTCCTTGTCCTCCTCCTCCTCCTCCTCCTCGTCCTCCTCCTCCTTTTCGTCCTCCTCCTCCTCCTCCTCCTCCCCTCCTCCTCCTCCTCCTCCTCCTCCTCCTCCTCCTCCTCCTCCTCCTCCTCCTGCTCCGAGCTCGAGGTGGTCCGGCCCGTGGCGCCCGAGGCATCCCTGCAACCTCTGAGCTCTTCGAGAGATGCAGAGCACGAAGTGGTCCGGCCGTTCACGCCCGAGGCATCCCTTTCAACTCTGGGCTCCGAGATTCCTCGGGAGAAAGAGGAGAGGGAGGAGGAGGAGGAGGAGGAGGAGGAGGAGGAGGAGGAGGAGGAGGAGGAGGAGGAGGAGGAAGAGGAGGAGGAGGAGGAGAAGGAGGAGGAGGAGGAGGAGGAGGAGGAGGAGGGCAGGACGAGGGGGAGAAAGAAGCAGACATGAGGAGGAGGGAGGAGAACGGAAGGAGCAAGAGCAGTGATACCCACTCACCAGGACGCGAGCGGGACGTGGTCTTGTCACAACGCCTGTGTGAGGCTGTCTGGCCCGTTCTATTTGAGACATCCTTCCAGCTTTGCGCTCCGAGAATCCGCTCGGGAGGTGCTCCGGCTCGTTTCGCCTGGGACACCCTCTCACTTCGGAGCTCCGAACTGCTGCGCGCGAGATTGTCCGGTTATTTCTGCCTGCGACATTCCGCAGCCTCTCTCCTTGCGCCTTCCGCCTCCTTGGCCCTACCAGGAGAGCCCAGAATCGAATCGACAAGTCGGATCGGCGATCGAAATGAATCGGATGGGCGGAAATCGGCAGCCGAGTCGGGAGAAGTCGAGTCGGCAGAAATCGACAGGCTAGTGTGCCTCCAGCAAGGAATCGGAGTCCAAATCGGAATCCGAAGTCGAATCGAATCGGAACCGGAAGCCATCGGAATCGAATCGACTCGAATCGGAGGGATCGAAACGAGCCCTGCCCTACCTCCCACCTGCCTCCCAACTGCCTCCTCCTCCGGCCTCCCGCCTCCCCTTTCCGCTGCGCCTCTGCCTCCGCCTCCCCCTCGCCGCCTCCGCCATCTCTTCCGCCTCAGCACTCGCCATGCGCAGGCACGTGAGCATTCGCCATGCGCAGGCACGTGAGCATTCTCCTATCTGGGCGGAAAAAGGGGGGGGAGGGGCGGGGTCTGGCTCCGGACCTCTGCTGCGTGCCACTGCTTGCAGCCGTGCGTCCCCATGGGGGAGGCTCCGAGCCTCCACCTGCTCGAACCAGGCGCCCCCAAAACAGCCAAGGTCTACTCCAGGGGGGGGGGAAGGGGGAAATAACACAAGGCTAGGATCGGGATAAATCGCTCCAGAGCGGTCCGGAGCGCTCTCAGAGCGTTCCGGAACGCTCTGGAGCGGCCGCGGCGCCCACTACATCCTCCGAACCCGCCGATTCTCAGAGATTTCGAGGTATCCCGATCCGATTGTGTCCCGATCTTCGCGTCCTTTGAGGAAAGGGGGGGGCGAGGGCCCGCGCCCATCGGCAGAACAGAGGAGCACAAACACGATCACCACCCGACACCTCACGATTTTGTTTGTGCGCTCGAGGCGCGGGCCGCCGCGGAGCTCCCGAGGCTTGGCCTGGACCCGCGGGCCTCCCGCGGGCACGCTGCCAAGCAGTGTCGCACACAGCCTGGTGCAACCCCCTCGGATGTTGTGAACGCCATGCTCCTCTGCTAAAGCGACACGAAGATCGGGACAAAATCGGATCGGGATAACTCGAAATCTCTGAGAATCGGCGGGTCTGGAGGATGTATTGGGCGCCGCGGCCGCTCCAGAGCGTTCCGGAACGCTCTGAGAGCGCTCCGGAACGCTCTGGAGCGATTTATCCCGATCCTAGCCCTGTTTTACATGTTCCTCTGCACGGGGCAGGCGTGCGAACGCGAGTGGAAGTGACCAGATGCGTTCCCCAGCCGAGTGTCTGGGGATGCTACGCTCCGGCTCGCTTTTTGTCCCTCGATCCCTGCGGAGGATCGCGACATCGGCCTCGAAACTCCTGTTCAAGGGGCTGAAGCGCCCTCTGAGCCAGGCCGCGATGCCCTGGACACCACCAAACGGCCACGGCAAGAACTGCAGCAGCGACATCGAAGCCCGCGCTTGCTCCATGTAGCCTAGCAGTGCTCTGTGGGCGTTGTCGTATGCGGTCCCGACTACGCTTTGTTCGCCACCGAGGGTGTGCGACTCCTCGCCGAACAAGATCTTCATGATGCTGTCCATCGTGAAGCTGAAGAAATGTTTCTGCATATCTGTGGGCTTTCCAGCCTCAAGGACCGCGCACAGTTCTTTGGCTTTGCTCGCGAAGACCACACACATGTTGTCATTGAAGTTGGACCTTGTGAAAATGCTGGCGGCGATCTTTCGCTGATGCAGCCATAAGGCTCCCTTGTCGGCGGCGCCCGGCCCATGCTGTGTGGTGAAGATGCCCGGGCCTATCCATTTGGCCAGCAGCGAAAGCGGAAAGTCTTTCCTGTGGGGAGGGGGGCAAACAAGTATGGATCCACTACCTTACTTTTCGCTCACCCTCCAAAGAAAGTGGAGAGCAGCAGGAGGGTGGAGCAAGAAGGTGTGCAGCTACCCCTTGGCTGGCTGATTCGGGGTCCACACTGGCTTCCTTGTGTCCGCCTTCGTGTACTTGTCAAAGGCGTCCTTCAGCACGTGGCGCAAGCAGACCGGGTCCCGCACGAACACCAACACGATCGCGGGGTCCCACACGGGCCCCAAGATCTTCGAGACCGGGAAGCCCCGGGTCGCCTCGTCCCGCCAGTGGTGGAGGCGATACCTGGCCGATCGGCGGTGGACAAACCTCCCTTTAGCAAACCTCCCCTTAGTGAAATCAAATATTCTGCGTTTGTTCTCATACATTTGGCATGATTGTGACACCGTTTGGGATTGTTTTGGAGTTTCTCTTTACTGGAATGGACTTGTAGGCCTGGGACCGACACCGACGGACCTGGGCCCGCAAAACTGACGGCCGCGACGCCCTCTCGCGAGCCGAAGACGGCCGATTCGCTACAGTAATCGGCGTGTCAGGGTAGGAGGTCGATCCACCTCCGATGAACACCACACCCTGGCATCTCCGTCCCATCTCTGCCGCCTTCCGCTGGCCTTCTGCTGCCGGACCCCGCCGCCGCCCTGCCTGCACCAGGCCTCCGCCGAGGGCGAGCTGCGCCGCATAGGCGGGGCCGTTTGAAAGGGGCCCCGGGACACGCAGATAAATTCACACAAATGACAGGATTCCCAATATTTTCCCATGTCTTCTGGGTTTTCGTCTTTCCCCCCACTCCCCATATGTTCTCATGTTTTCCCCGGAATCGACCATTCATTGTGTCTGTGTGCCTTTTCCCCTCCTGACGTTTCCGCAGCGCCCCGCCTGTTTTTGATGAACTCCGGCAGGACCCCGAGCAGGGGATGCACGGTGCCGCGGATGGCTGGCACCTCCCGCAGCATGCGCTTCATCCTCCACGAGATCGGGAGCGGCAAAAGAGGGGGGGGTCCAAGAGGGGGGGGTGCAAATCATGACCGGCGGCATGTGCGCGGCCCAGCGGGGGGGCCAGGGATGTAATGAAACAAGAAGAGGCGCTATAACATCTGGGGAAATATCATGACCCCCGCCATGATATCCAACCCCCCTAGGCATCACCCCCCTCTTTTCCGCCCCCGACGAGAGCAAGACGGGCCGCCACCGCCAGAACTCCGCAGGACGGGGCCCCCGCAGACCCCCCCCCGAGCTGGTGGCACTCCGCTCCGGGCACTCTCGGGGGGGCGCGCCCGGCACGGGGTGCCAGCTCGGGGAGTTGAGCAGGGACCGACGGTCCCTGCATTCCTATAGTCATACCACGTAATGTGCTTAGAACCCCAAAATGTTCGAATAACAAAAACAATGTTCTTAGAACACAAACCCGATGTGTTAAAAGAAGACAGTCCCAGCCAGAAATGTTCTAAGAACATTTCGTGGCAAAAGGTTCTTAGAACATTGTTTGGTAGGGCTATAGGCGAGCCAGGACGCTTCGCCACTGCTTGAGGGAGAGGGAGCGGCCAGCCCCCCGAGCTGGAGGCGGTGGTTCTGCCTTCTCTGGTGCATCCTCCAGCGGCCGCAGAGGCCGGCGAGAACTCGTGCGAGGAAGTGGCAGACCTCGGACCGGCGCGGCGCGGCGCGAGGGGGGCACGCGCTGTCGCCACCCACGACGACGAAGACCACGACGGCGACGACGACGACGAAAGAGAAAACGACGACGACGACGACGCCGAGGACGAGGACGACATCGACGACGACGGCGGCGACGACGCCGATGCGGGCAACGAGGGCCACGGCGACGACGGCGAGACCCCGAAATGCGCGTACAGCGACAGCAGCGAGGTCCACGGGGGCCACCGATCCCATGTCGCGAGCGGCATGCGCGGGCCCCCTCTCCGGGCGCGCGCCGCGGGAGCGCCCGGCCCTCTCGCCACCGCGCGCGGCCCTGAGCTCCCGGGCACTGGTGGCGGAGGAGGCAGTAAGTCCTCGCCCCTCCTTCGTCCCTCCTCGCCCACAGCCCTCCCTCCTCCCCCCCTCCTCCCTCCTGCCTCCACCTCATCCTCCCCCCTCATTCATCCTCCTTTCTCCTCCTCCTCCTCCTCCTCCTCCTTCTCCTTCTCCTTGTGCTCCCTCCCTCCGGAGCACGCTCCACTACTGGCAACGTACCTGCTCGCAAATGGCCTGGATCCGCTGCGGGGGATCTACGGTCCATTTTACATGGAGGCAGACTAATGTTTTCGGCCGTTTGCGAGTGGGCATTTTGAGAGTCGTGGAACGGGCTCGGCTAAGAATGCCGCCGAAGGACCTCCGCGTCAACCAGAAGGAGGAACACCCCGCGTAAGCAGAAACCCTGGAGCTCCGCGCTCACTTCTTGGATCTGCGCTGATGCCCCCGCCCCCGGTCGCGCGGAGCTCGCCAGGGCCTCCCGCACCGCCGGGCAGGAGGAGGAGGAGGAGAGAAAGAAGGAGGAGGAGGAGGAGGCGGAGGAGGAGGCGGAGGAGGAGGAGGAGGAGGAGGAGGAAGAGGAGGAGAGGAGAGGAGGAGGAGGAGGAGGAGGAGGAGGAGAGGGGGGGGGGGACTAGGGGAGGAGGGAGGAGGAGGAGGAGGAGGAGGAGGAGGAGGAGGAGGAGGAGGAGGAGAGGAGGAGGAGGAGGAGGAGGAGGAGGGAGGAGGAGGGAGGAGGAGGAGGGGGGGGAGGAAGGGGGAGGACTAGGAGGAGGAGGAGAAGGAGGCGGAGGGGAGGGAGGAGGAGGAGGAGGAGCAGGAGGAGGATGAGGAGAAGGGGGCAAGGAAGGGGAGAAGGAGCGGGGGGGCGGAGTCAAAGAGTGAACAAGCAGTAGAATAAGCAGCCATGCAAGGCTTCCAAGCGTGCCGTCCCGATCGTCGCGAAGGGCAGCAGCCCACACAGCGGCATCCGACAGCGATCAGTCACTGAACGCCTCAGCTTCTCAGTCCCTCAGTCCCTCCCCCTTCTCATTCGCCTCCTCCCCTTCCATCCTCTGTCCCATCATTATCTTCTCAAGCTCATGCTCTTCGGGCAAACTCTCAGATGGATTCGGAATCCGTGAACCTGCCCCGTGGGCGCCAGATCCACGGGTGGGGAACGTAGGCCTCGAAACAGTGCGCCAATGCCGCCTGATTTGGCGAGGTACAATCCAAATTGATATGCAAACGGGACCCGTCGATACTGCACACGACTCAATACATGTCTGCATTTCCTCCAGCGCTGCATCCTTCTCCTCGTCCTCACCATCATCACCATCATCACCCTCATCACCGACATCATCATCAGCATCACCATCATCAGCATCATCATCACCACTATCATCATCACCACATCATCATCAGCATCATCAGCATCATGATCATCAGCATCATCATCATCAGTATCATCATCATCATCATCAGCAGCAGCAGCAGCATCATCAGCAGCAGCAGCAGCACCATCATCGTCCTTACCATCATCATCATAATCATCATCAGCATCATCAGCATCATCATTAGTACCAGCACAATCATCACCATAATCATCATCACGATCCTAACATCATCGCCAATAACAACTTTATCATCATCATCATCATCACCATCGTCACCGTCATCATCATCAGTACCAGCATCGCCATCATGATCATCATCATCACCATCAACACCAGTATCATCATCAGAAGCAGCATCATCATCACCCCTGCTCCTCCCTGCGTCTTTTGTCCTTCCTCACCCTCCTCCTCCTCCTCCTTCTCGTTTTCCTCCTCCTCCTCTTCCTCCTCCTCCACCTCCACCTCCTCCTCCTCCTCCTCCTCTTCCTTCTCCTCCTCCTCCTTCAATTTTCCCCCATCACGACATCGCCAGCCGTGCACCGTCTGGCGAAGTCGCGAGTGGTAGACCTGGACCTCCCGAGACCCGGCATGTTGAAGCACATCAGGTGGAACCCTTTCACACAGATGCGGGCACGCGCTACTTTTCTGTACGCGGCATCGTCGCACCGTGGCCTGTAAGACTGTAAGATGCCGTTTGTCAGAGCGGTCCCTGGCGCAGGCAGACATGCAAGGCGGGCACTGAGCTTATGAGGCCTGGAGCCGTGCAACCAAACCCAGGCCCACGTCCTGGACGGGGAGGAAGAGGAGGAAGCCTGGAGGGGCGGCATGGGTGTGCAAGGCTGGGAGGACCTACGTCTAGAGGTCCACCGCGTGGGGTGCCAGGACACAACAAGGCGATGAACATGGATATCATTGGGCTTGCCTAGGGCTGGAGTAGACACCCATGTCTCTACATACCTCCACATACACGAACACACGAACACACACACATGTATATATACACACATGTGCTTACATGTGTATGCAATTGTGCATGTACATGTGTATGCAGGCATGCATGCATGCAGGCATGAATACATACATGAATGAATGTAGGCGTGTATGAATGTATGTATGTATATGTATATGTATGTGGGCTTGCATGTTTGATTGTAGGTATGCACGTGTACGTGTATATGTATGCATGTATGCATATATATATATATGTATATATATGTGTATGTATGCATGTATGCATGTATGCATGTAAGTATGTACGGGTGTCGGTGTGAAAAGTGTGTGCATGAGTGTATGTGTGTATGCACGTGTATATGTAATTATGTATATATGTATGTGTATGTATGGGTGTATGTATGTATGTATGTATATGTGTGTGTATGTATGTATGTATGTGTGTATGCATGTGTGCATGTATGTATATATTATGTGTACGTATGTGTGCATGCATGTATGGGTGTATGTACCTACGTATGCATGTATGTATGTATGTATGTATGTGTGTACGTATGTGTATAAATGTATGCATGTATGTATGTATGTATGCATGCATGTATGTGTGCATGCATGTATGTATGTATGTGTGTATGTATGTGTGCATGTATGTATGTGTGTATGTATGTATGTATGTATGTATGTTTGTATGTATATATGTATGTGTGTATGTGTGTATGTACGTGTGTAGGTATGTACGTAGGTATGTAGGTAGGCATGTATGTATGTATGCTAGTATGTATGTATGTATGTATGGATGGATGTATGTATGTATGTATGTATGCATGGATGCATGTATGTATGTATGTATGTATGTATGTATGTATGTATGTATGTATGTATGTATGTATGCGTAAGTATGTATATATGCATGCATGTATGTACGTGTGTATGCATGCATGCATGCATGCTTTTATGTATCACTATTCACTGGCTCCCGAAGTCCAGGAGGATAGGTCCCCACGGCGGTGGACATGTGTAAGCCCCTGCCTCGCAAGGGGAAGCCCACTCCCGGCGGATGGGGCCGCAGGGGCACACGCACGGTCGCGGCACCGCGAGGCCGCGCGCACTCACCGGGGCGCAGTAGGCCTCGCGGGCACTCTGCCTGGCAGCGCCCTGGGGCCGCCACATTGGCCCGACTGCGCGGCACCGCCCAGGCATCCCAGATAGGTTCCTGGGAGCACTTGCGGTACAGCCGGGCATGATTGGAGAGGTCACGGGAGAGGACAAGACCCTTCCGAGGGCTACATTGCTACAGGAATGTAAGAAGCACGGGCCTCTAAAGACAGGACACAAGGGTGCCCTTGACTTGAAGCACGGGCCTCTAAAGACAGGACACAAGGTACCCGTGACTTGGCAGGGTTGACCTACAAATTGATCCAGGCCAATGGTACGCCGCGCCAGATCAGTCCGCTGAACTCCGCGGTGGTGCCTCCAGTCTGTGAGCCGTCACGCTGCGTCAGCTTCACTTGGGAAAACCAAGGAGTACCAATACCGCCACTCCCCGGACTTCTCCCGGGTGCGTTCTGCTCAACCGCGACCAGCCAGGGACCCACCCGCGACCCACCGGTGACTCGCCCGCGACCCACACCGCGCACGCTCACTCTCTTTTATCTGCAACTGCGAGGTGCTACGTAACTTGCATCAGGTTCGGGTTCCCAGCGGGCCAAATTCTTTCAAACTGCGAAGGGTCCGCGCTTCCAGAGGCTCGACCTCTTGCACATTGCAGAAAGGTCTCGCGCTCCAAGGGCCACGACCCCTCCCAAGTGAAATCCGCCTGGGCCACAAGACATTACGACGGAAACACGCGCCGCGGGGCACGACTCCAGAATAATAATGCCAGCTCGTGGGCACGGACCTATGGACAAGTGCACCGTATCTGTATGTACACACATGTATGTGCGTGCATGCACACACACACATAGAGGCAGCACGCCCATAGAAACATGGATGACACCCTCCCAAGTAGTAAAACATCAAGATGCGCACAATCAGGGCGTGTTATGTGTACTTACGCGATGGTACACACGGGGCGCAACGCAAGGGCTGCGAGCCTTGAGGTGCTATCGTTGCGGTGCAGTCTAGGTGTGCAAGACAAGAGCCATAGGGAGCCATAGGAAGCCATGCGGCCACCGCAGCGAGTGGGCCACCCAGGGTCAAAGGTAGAGGCGTGCTCGCCTCCCTCGGCGCGAGCGAGAGTCAGTAGGCAGGGGTCGAAGACAGGGCAACCTATCTGGAGTGCACGGGAGGCCAGGCCGCCAACCGAAACAGCTGCACAAAGCATGACAGCTCCCAAGTGGCCGCCAGAAACCGTGCGGCACGCGGGGCCCGCTGGAAGGGGGGGGGGGCCACGAAGAGCACTCGGTTGACGGGGCCCAGGGGCACACAAAGAAATACACACAGATCCCAGGATCCCCAGTATGTTCAAATACTTTCTGCGTTCTCGTCTTCCCCCCCCCCCACTTCCCATAGTTTCCCATATCATCCTGGGGATCGACGATTCATTGTGTCTGTGTGTGTTTGTCCCCTTCTGATCTGTAGGGAAAGGTATATGAAGCAAGGGGTATCCACGAGGTCACCAACGAATGCGTCAGAACGCCCACTGCGAAACACGTTCTGGGGAACCACACAAGTGCGCTGCCAAGGCCACGACTCCGCACAACATGCCGGTCCGTGCTCCCAGGGCCAACGGCCCTGTGCAAAAAACGCGTGGTCCTCGATCCCTTGTGGAACTCGCTCGAGAGCCACATACTACTGCATCAGCGGCCTGGGAAGGCTTCCAGAAGCCTCAATGAAGTCGGAAAGGTCAACAAGAGGGCCCACATTAGGCCTTGAGAGGGCCGGCAAGGTAGGGTCTGCTAAGAGGGCTGGCCAGAAAGGACGAGGCTCGCGTGACGGCCAGGCACATGCCCCAAGAAAGCCGCCCCCGCCACGAGGAGGAGCAGCAGCAGGCGAAAGAGAGGACAACGTCGAGTGGCTGGGGGCAGTGGCCAAAGGCCCTGCACATGCGAAGGCACTGGCGTAGGAGGCGAGTCATCTGCTCACCATCGCCTGGAAGATTATCTCAGTGCTCCTCGAAGCCAGGTGCTGCCAAGAGAGGGGCCCTGAATTCTCTGCGCGTCACGCGCACTGGCGGCTGACAAAGCAGCGAGGCGGGCTCCCCCTCATGCAGGCAAGACGTATATGCCTATCCACTGCGTCTTGGATCTTCTGGAAGGGGCGCCAGCATGCCGAGGCGCGCTGGCTATGGATACAAATCCAGCCTCTAAGGGCTGGACTTCTGTCTATCTCCAGGGTGCCTCGGGTGCCTGGGGGAAGAGAACCCAAAGCTGCAAGCTGCAATGGATATAGAGCCGGAAATATGACGGAGGAAATAATCAAATAAGAAATGTGGGCCAGCTTCCTGGACAGTTCTTGAAACAAGCCCCGGACCAATTTCTGTTATTCACGCTGGAGGGTCGACCGTGCTCAGGAAGCTGGGCAAGCTTTCCGGCAAGTTGATTCAAAAACGCTGGCCCAGCTTTACGTGAGGAGCTTTCTTACACATCGGTCGAAAGAAGTGGGTAAGAACATGAAGTAGGAAGGCGGACAAAGCAGATGGGGCTCAGGCGCTCCCAGATAAGACCAACACACAGCAAAAGCAGCTCGACCCTCGAAGCAGGGAGGCGCTTGACATAGATGAGGACCTGTGCGTCCAAACACTTCTGCCGCCAACGACCGGCGTGTAATCAACGCCTCGACTGTACACAACTCGCGCCGATACCTCACTGACCCTCCTCCCTCGCCATCCTCCTCGCCCCTCCTCCTCTGGAGAGGCCGCCCGCGCGGGGCCGGAGCAGCTTGGCATCGCACAAGGCCGCTCCGCACCGCCGACGCGCCGGCGACGCACCGGGACGCCTCACACGCCGTGCTCGCGGCACCGCGCTGCATCGCCGGTGCGTCGGCGAGGCCTCGCGAGCCTCCGACGCCATGGAGTCCGGCCACATCTGGGCGAGTTCGGAAACCCGGAGCCCACAAACATCGTCATCTCTTGGCGGCATCTGTTGTGCCTCCGCCACGCTCCGCCGGCCTCCCACTGGGTTCCGACGGTGCATGCGGCCTCGTTTTACCTCCGCCGGCCTTCCGCCGTCTTCCGCCGCGGAAGAGATGGCAACTCCTTCGATCCCCGAAGGCAAGGCCCTTGCTGGAACGCCCCATCTGGCAGAGCAGAAATCGGGGAGACGCAATGAGGGGCTACAGGAAGCGGGGGCGATAGGCATAGGGGGGGGGGCAGCATCGGCCTGGAATCGGCGATGCGTCGACGATAGATCGGCGACATACCCCCGATAGCAAATGCGCACGTGCCTGGGTGGGTTGGGGCTATCGGGCCCCTATCGGCGATCAATGGGCGATTGGGGGTCGACGCATCCCCCCCTATGCCCATTCCCCCTATCGTTGCCCCCGACGTAAGACTCGGGTTCGGCGGACTCGGGTTGGCCAGACGGCGCCATCATGAAAATGACGAGACCGCTGCAGACTCTCACAAAAACTACACCGTCGCAATCCAGGACGGGCTTGTCAAAAGAGGCCAGCAAAGCCGAGTTCCAGTGCACTCGAGCCTCACGCTTACCCGTGCAAAAGTATCGATACCGCTACTGCACGCATCTCTCCCAGAGTGCGTTCTGACCAGGATCCCTATGCCAACTCGGCCGTGGCGACGAGGGAAGGGTAGCAGTATCGGCTTCCTGGGTCCTCACACCTTTTGTGGGCCCCGGAAACGGCAGGGCCGTTTTTTCACCGTTTCCCCAAAAAAATCCATTGAAAATGGAAACGGCAAAAAAACGGCGACCGGAAACGGCAACAAAAACGGCTCCAGGACTGGAACAAGAGCCGGAACCCGTCAAAAAACGGCAAAACGGAACCGGCAAAAAAAACGGCGTCGGAACCGGCAACAAAACGGCAGAACGGAACCGGTAAAGAAACGGCCCTGTCGTTTCCAGGGCCCACTAAGCTCCCAGAGTGCGTTCTGACCAGGATCCCTATGTCAACTCGGCCGTGGCGACGAGGGAAGGGTAGCAGTATCGGCTTCCTCAGGGGCGACAGAAGGACGTACACGTACATGAATCTACGCTGGTTCCGAGGGCACGCGCCGCGCAAATGTTCGTGTAACGCGGCCGGCCTCGCGGACCGAGGGGCCGTGTTCATGTACATAGCTGGGCGCGTACGTCCTTTCTGGGCTCCCTACTTCCTGGGTCCTCAAACCCCACGGCGCACCCGCAGGGTCCGCCGCTCACTGGTTGTAGGCCCTGCAGCGCTCCACCAGCACAGCGGCCACCGTCGTCCCGCCGCTGGTCGTGTCCCAGAGGCGGTGGTGCACCGTGCCCGCGCCGAAGTCCTAAAGGGGCCCTGGAACACACAAAGAAATACACACAAATAAAAGGATTCCCCATATTTTCCTACATTTTCTGGGTTTCTGTCTCCCCGCCCACGTCCCATAGTTTCCCATATTTTCTGGGGGATCGACGATTAATTGTGTCTGTGCTTTTTTTCCTCCTGAAGTCCGTCGCCCCGAAATAGAAGACGGCCTCCAGCCCCGACCACGACCGGTCCCAGATGCGGCTGCTCCTGATGGCCTCCGCTGCCTGCAGAGGAGCCAACAAATGCGTAAAACTTGACTTTGGGAGGTCCGCGCGGAGCGCGCACACAGTTCATGTTTCTGTTTTCGTTGCTGCTTTCTTCTTGGAGCCTGGTCGGCCGTGGTCCCCCCAAGCCAGGCAAAGTTGCCCAGGATGACGGGCCGGCCGCTGTTCGCCTCGCTCATCGCGGCCACCTCGCGCTTGATCCACTCCTCCTGGTCGGGGTGGGCGCTCGACGGGCTCAGCAGCCACTGGTTCGTGGCCAGCACGTCCACGTAGTACGGCGAGGCGGGGTCGCTGCACGCGGGGCCGCAGTGCGCAAAGAACCTCTGCAGCTTGTCCTGGGCGGCCCCGCCGTTGTCAGTGAACAGTGGGCTGGTCACGCGCGTGCCGCGATTGCGCAGCGCCGCCATCTCTGGGGTCCATTTGTCCACATGCGTCTTCCACTGGTCCGCTGCCCACTCGGCGCTGAGCCCCTGCGTCATGGGCTCGTCCCACAGGAAAAGGTAGCGGCCGCCGCAATCGTCCGGGCTCTTGCTGAGCCCGTAGTCCCTGGCGCACTGCCACGCCCCCATCGTGTCTTGGTACCAGTGGCTGCAGTCGTTGTTGATGTTCAGGGTGCACATGTCTCTGTCCTCGGGAGTCCAGCCACTTCTCGGAAAACCAAAAGGTACCAATAGTGCTACCCCCTGGCCAGGGCGCGTTCGGACCTGGATTTCGAGGCGCACCCAGCGGTGGCGGCGAGGGCCTCCCAGGAGGCCCACAGGGCGAACACCATGCAAGGGTGGCGGTGTCAGTACCCTTCTCCTCCTCCGGATTTCAGGGGCCCGTTTCCCCCAGGACCCGCTTCCCCCATGGCGATCCTCGGGAGTCAAGCCATTCCAGGACGGCGGGTGGGTGCCCCCGTAGCCCATGCACATGTGCTTGAAGCTGCTCCCGACCGCTGGGTCGATCGCCTCGAGGAGCGCAACCTCCTCACGGCAGGTGTAGACGTCCACAGCGATGCCACAGTAGGGCGCCGCTCCCGGCGCGGCCGTCGGCGTCGGGGCGGGCGCTGGCGTGGGGCTGCACGCGCGCTTGTAGAGGGTCCTTAAGACGAAGCCAGGACGAGGGTAAATCGGGTGAAGAAAAATCGAGAATCTCCGAGATCCGCCAGCTCTGGAGAATGTCTCGGGCGCCGCGGCCTTCTGGAACGCCCTGAGAGCGTTCCCAAAAGCTCCGAAACGGATTTACCGTCGTCCCAGCCCCGTCCCAGTCCTGCACTCTGAATGCTCCCTGGTGGGCTCGCTACCCGAGAAACTCCGGTCTTTCAGCCAGCAGCCGCTCCACTGCGGACAGAAGCTTACGCTCTTGCAGTTCGTGTGAGCAGAGCAGCGCGCCATGCAACGTTCGGGCGACGTGGTAGATATATCACCCTCCACACCGTTTCCCTCGTCGATCGCCAGGCCGTCAAGCTCCCCGTAGCAGTCGTCTGCCACTGTGGGCACAGGCGTGGACTCCAGCGTGGGTGCAGGCGTTGGCATTGGCGTGGGCGCCAGCGCAGGTGCCTGCGTGGGTGCAGATGTGAGCACAGGCGTAGGCAACGGCGTAGGCGCTGGCGTAGGCGCAGGCGTGGGTGCCTGCGTGGGTACAGGTGTGGGCGCAGGCGTAGGCAACACCGTGGCCTCTGGCGTAGGCGTAGGCGTGGGTGCAGGTGAGGGCGCTGGTGCCGAGCTGCACGAGCGCTTGTAGAGGGTCCTGCACCCGAAGTGCTCCCTGGTGGACTCGCTGCCCGAGAAGCTACGATCTTTCAGCCAGCAGCCACTCCACTGCGGGCAGAAGCTGATGCTCATGCAGTTCGAGTTGGCTGAGCACCCCGCCATGCACTCAGCAGACGACGTGGTAGATATATCACCCTCCACACCGTTTCCCTCCTCGGTCGCCAGGCCGTCAAGCTCCCCGTAGCAGTCCAGCGCATCCGTCGTGGCCGAAGGTGTAGGAGTAGCGGTGGAGCCACACGCAGTCCTGTAGAAGGTTGTGCAGCCGTTGTGCTCCCTGGTTGCCTCGCTGCCCGAGAAGCTTTGGTCCTTCAGGTAGCAGCCACTCCACAGCGGGCAGAGGCTGAAGCTGTTGCATCCTTCCTGAGCATCACATGCCACCTGGCAGTCGCTCGCGGACGAGGCGGAGACCTCCCCACCCACACCGTTGCCCTCGGCCACTGCCAGGCCTGGAAGCTCCGCGTAGCACTGCTCCGTCTTTCGCTCGGCAGCGGCACGAATGAGGCTGTGGCTCCGGTGCTGAGCGAGGCACGTTCCGCCCGGGACTGGCCTGGTGGCCTGGGCAATCTCCACGGCAGCCGCCAGAAGGTGCAGTCGCGCCAGCATGCCGAGCGAGGCCATCCCTGCGCGCGTTTTGCTGAGTGCTCTGGGCTCTGGGCGGCACAAGCCGGCGGTAAATCCTTCGAAGACGGGGAGACCAAATATCCCGACTTGAACCAAGGTTGCGGCGCCTGCCTGATCACGCGCGCCGCAGCAAGATACAAACGGCATCCGCTCGAAGCCGGTCCACAGGCTCCTTCCTGGGCGCCACCACACCTTTTGCTGCTTAGCTCAAGGAAATATGACGGTGTGAATCCTTTGTTCAGTACGCGCCAATCAGTTGTGGGGCCCGCCCGGCGGCTAACTCTGCGCCCATCCCCCTGATGAGTCAGGTGGGCGTGTGAGCCAGGTGCCCCTGGGGAGGCCCGGGATAGCCCGACCAGCGTCATCCCAAAGTGCCCCAGGATTGCCAAGGTCCTTGGACGAGCACTCAACTTTCTGTACCGTCGGGGCGTGCCTGCCTCTGTGGGCGCCAGTGGGCTTCTCGGCCCCAGTGGTGGCCCCGAGAGGGCCCCAGGAGACCATCCCGAGCGGGCGCTGTTTGAAGACGGCGCGAGCGGGCTCAGCCTGGGGGGAGGGAGGGGTGGGGCGTCCTCTCGCGGTGCCGTTCACAGCTGCATGCGCAGGCCCTCCTGCCCCGCTCGCATGGAGGCACCAAGGTTGCAGCGCGCGCCCGAGGACATCGCAGGAGCTGCGGCGGCGCAGAGAGGACGAGCCCCTCGCACAGCGTCAGCATATCCCAGGCGGCGGGTGCCGATGGAGCGGAGGTAGAGGGAGGGGCGGGTGAGAGGAGGGAGCGCGGACTAGGGTCAGACCAAAGAGAACGCACAAAAGAGTACGATAGCGTTCAACATGTGTACTCATGGGCATGGGCATGCGCATGATTTTTGGGGCGAAGGTGAGCATGTGTGCTACTACCAGCACGAGCAAGATAATCAGACGGGATCGTTAACCCGCATGAAAGGTTGGATGGGTTTTATGGTCATGTGAGCGCTCGATCGCGGGAGTATGAAATAATTGTGGGCATGCGTAACTGATCAAATTATGAATCTTAGCTGAGGTCCGAACGACTACTTTTCTAAGTCGAATCGTGAGCACGATCACCAGAGTACGGACGAATCTGACAACGCGCACGAGCAGAAATCAAGAGCACGACGACACAGATGAAACGGGGCGGCTGGAAAATATGAGATTGTTTGTATCACCGCCGCTCTCGTCAGATCAGGAGTCCTCCAGGGTCCGACGCCTCTAGGCCCATTCCGACACTACGCCCCTACCGTATATGGATGCTCAGAGCACCTCGCTGGTGCAGTGCCCGCGCGTCCTGGCTCCACCACCAGACGCCAGCGAGAAGGGAGGGCGAAGGAAACCCATCCCATGTCATGATTGATTCAATGCGCGGCCTGGCGCTCTTCCTGCTCTTCTTGAACTGAAAACTACAACAGAACGAGCGAAGCGTGCAGGGAATGCTTGCACCCAATTGAAGAAGAAAGAGTGAGTTGTCAGAACATTAGCGGCGACAGTCGGAGCCAAACGCTCCCCACGGGTGCCCATCAAAGTGCGGGTCGAGAGGACAAGGAAACTGGGCAAGCCTAGGAGCAAGGGCGTCCTCGGCACCTATAGCAAACTAGTGCTGATCACTCGGGGAAGCCGAGAGACAGATATCAGCATGGCGGAACAGGGATTCAGCCAGGAAAGAACAGAGCGGAGGAGGATATAGCTTGGCAGCCGCGGTCCTGAATATCCCTGAAGGGTCACGACCAATCATTGTCGTGTGGGAGCCTCTCGGGTTAGTGCAACGGCCTCTCCCCCGAACACAATCAAGGGCAGAACGGAAATGAGGTTGATTGATAACCAGGAATACAGTAGGCTTGACACTTGGAGCATCAAAGGAGCACTGGTCGATCCAAACGAAGTCGACCGTGCTTATTTCTTGGGGCAAAGTCCTGAGATGAGAAATCTCTGAGAAGTACCAGGAACTGGGCAAGGAAGGATCCGACGGAGGAGCGGGATGTTCCTGGATACCCGCAGCGCCATACACATAACAGGCGTACATAAGGAGCACAGAGGTCCTCAAGAGGCCACTGCCGAGGTCCAGTTGGGCCCATTCAAGTGCGGCGGCCTGAGGGAGCCCCCAAAGGCCTGCTCCTCCTCATCGTCCTCCTCCTCCTCCTGCTCCTCCTCCTCGTCCTCCTCCTCGTCCTCCTCCTCCTCCTCCTCCCCTTCCTCCTCCTCCTCCTCCTCCTCCTCCTTCTCCTCCTCCTCCTCGTCTTCCTCCTCCTCCCCCTCTTCTTCTTTTTCTTCTTCTTCTTCCTCCTCCTCCTCCTCATCCTTCTCCTCCCTCTCCTCCTCCTCCTCATCCTCCTGCTGCTCCTCCTCCTTCTCCTCCTCGTCCTCTTCCTCCTCCCCCTCCTCCCCCCTTCTCCTGCTCCCCCTCGTCCTCGTTCTTCTCCATCTCCTCCTGCTCTTCTTGAACTGAAAACTACAACAGAACGAGCGAAGCGTGCAGGGAATGCTTGCACCCAATTGAAGAAGAAAGAGTGAATTGTCAGAATATTAGCGGCGACAGTCGGAGCCAAACGCTCCCCACGGGTGCCCATCAAAGTGCGGGTCGAGAGGACAATGAAACTGGGCAAGCCTAGGAGCAAGGGCGTCCTCGGCACCTATAGCAAACTAGTGCTGATCACTCGGGGAAGCCGAGAGACAGATATCAGCATGGCGGAACAGGGATTCAGCCAGGAAAGAACAGAGCGGAGGAGGATATAGCTTGGCCGCCGCGGTCCTGAATACCCCTGAAGGGTCCTGAATACCCCTGAAGGGTCCTCGTCCTTCTCCTCCGGGAGAGCGACAGCCTCCCCCAAAGACACCGAAAACCTCCCAGAAGGCGCGAGGTCTTCTGGGAAACCCCGCCGCCTTCCGAAAAGGACTTTTCCTCCTCACTTACCCCCCCCCCGCTCGCCGATGGCTGCAGCTGATGATGTTGACGATGATGCTGACGACGACCATGGAAGAGGAGGAGGATGAGGAGGAGGAGGAGGAGGAGGAGGAAGAGGAGGAGGAGGAGGAGGAGGAGGAGGAGGAGGAGGCGGGAGGAGAACGAGGACGAAGAGGAGGAGGAGCAGGAGGAGGCGGGGGGAGGAAAAGGAGGAGGAGGAGGAGGAGAAGGAGGAGGAAGAGGAGGAGGAGGAGGAGGAGGAGGCGAAGAAGGAGGAGGAGCAGAAGAAGGAGGAGGAGGAGCAGGGGGAGGAGGAAGGAGGAGGAAAAGGGAGGTGGAGGAGGAGGGAAGAGGAGGAGGAAGAGGATTCGTGTGCAATGATCGTCATAGCGCGCGCCGCCCGGCGCGCCTTCGGCGCCGCACCCCGAAGAGGATGAACTGACGTCGGGCGGGAGGGGGCCAGACCCCCTCGGCCAGGGCTGGACCGCGAGTAGAACTTGCTGGGCCTAAGGGCCCGCATGTTTCCCACCACTGGTCCGTCACCCCACGAGTGCCCTCAAGGGGGGGAGTGGTGGGACCTGCTTCGCAGCTAAGGTTTTTCCTGATTGTCTCCCTTCAGGTCAGCCCGTTCGTTCCTGGTTCCTGGTATGGTTTGGAAGCAAAAATGCCACTGGGAAAGGGTGGACCGCGACGGGGCCTGAGACCTGAGAGGGCAGTATGCAGGAGGACAGGGAGGAGGCAGTCTGCCGTCGGGGGCGCCCAAAACGGGGGAGACCAAGAGTGGGTTCGCAAGCCCGAAACACGTGCGCAACCCAGACAGGATCCGGGGAAAAAAAAACAGACATCCGCGACAACTTCGACGACGACAACGACGCCGATTGTCCCCGCTGTCGTCGAAGTGTCCTGCCTGCGGGCCCCAGGCTCCGAGCGAGGCCCTCTGTGGAACGTACAGGAATAACTGTATGGAGTACAAGAATACAGAGAGACACGAAGTACATGTAGGGGCGGGCCGTGCGATAAGAGAGCGCGTTGATGTTTTTTTGCGGGGGCCTGGGCGCGCCCGTCGCCTGGGCACCAGATGATTCAAGGGCCCTTGTGACACGCGACAACCGCGCGTAAGGGAGGTGGTGCGGAGGAAGGAGGAGGAGAGGCTGAAATACGCATGGCAACTGCAGTTCCTACCTTTCTTGCAGCCGAAATCCGACTCAGCCTCCATCCAAGACTTCATCCTGGGTCGTCGTAGCCGTTCGGATACCGTAGACTCCGCCAACCATCCCACGGCGGCTGCGACACGCAGCTGGTCCAGTCACACTAACACGTGGGCCTTGAGAACATCCCTCGGAAGAGGTCCGCCCAGGAATTGTCAGATCCAGAATTGCCCGCACTTTTCCCCATCTCGTCCATGAAACAAGTCGGCTCGGAGCCGATGGGGTCGCACTGATACCCAGTTCGCCCCAAGTTGCGGTGTGCTGCGCTGAGCTGTGTGTTCCATTGAGGAACCCATCTCTCGCCCTTGGGGGTCAGCTTGACAGAGAAATCCAAACTCGTCCATCTCCAGGTCGGGATCCTCGATCGGCTCGCCAGAGTGAACGTGGGCACTCGGAAATGCGGTAGGGATAACCCGCGCCGTAAGGTACATCCTGACCGTGCGACTCCATAGTTTGTACCATCCAAAAACAGGCTGCCATCGGTACTGCCTTCGAGCTGAGACCACATGTGAACATGCACGTTGGGATAGCCTGCGCGGTGCTTGCGATCAACATCCATCTTGAACATGCACGAGTACAGTTTCACCTCGGGACCCTCGTCAGACGACGCGTGCACCATATAGCGGGTGCGACTGGCACGGCGGGCTGATCGGTCGCAATAAACAACGAAGCTGTTGTCTGTGCTCGAGGGTGCCTGCTTCAGCTTCCACAAGCCTCTCTTGCTCAAGATCGAAGCAAGAGCTATCGAGTTGGCGCTGTGGCGCGTGGTTTGGACGTCGGCGCCCTGGTGGCTAAGGGCTGTAGATTACTACATCTCCTAGGCACGCATTACGGACATATCGATGAGCCACCGCTGTCCGCGTGGGCATGCGGTCGGGCCCCGGCCATGGGGGCCGTCGAGGGTACCTGGGAGATGTGCACGGGGGAAGTTGGACCCGCTCGGCATCTGAATGTCCCAGATTGGGCTTCAGGAGCCAAGCCGACCACAGCAACGTAGTGACAAATGGTGTCGATCAGGTTGCCCCTCCCCGCGTCGACCTCGGCACTCCTTCCACTGGGGTCTCAGCATCTTCTCGACAGCTTGCTCTCTCATTGTTTTAAACCCGCTTGTACCTCTCTGCCTCCAGTGGGCGCTGATGTTTCCCTCTTCGGGCCCAAGGCGTACGTGATCCTTCTCCACTAGAGATTCCTCCACCAGAGGATTTGGAGACCTACTGTTCGAGTGTCACAACGACGTTCGCGGCCTCCTGCAGGGCTTCCACAGCTGGTGGCGCATTGTCTTCAAATCCCTTGAGAACATGCACGGCGATTGCCACCTTCTCCGCTGCGGGCAAACAGGGCGCTTCAGATCGTCGCTCTGTTCCCGCTTGCCGAGTTCCGCGATCTGCTCCGTGAGATCCTGGAGCGCGGTCTCACCGTCATTCACCGGCCTCCCCCGGCTGACGTTGACTAGATTATTATCCTCCTGGGGTGGGCGCCAGAGGTTCCTGCCAATCCTCGGCAGGTTGTTGCAGTTCTTGCTGCTGGCGAAAGCCAGCGCCGCAGGGGCCCAGCCTGTCAGGTCTCCAAGCGAACTCAGACGGGGGGAAAGTACTCGCGGGGCATTCGATATCGGCCTTCGTGCACGCGGCGGACTAACCATAGACGGGCTCGCAGTCTCGTTCCATGGCCGCGCCCGCCAGATAGTTCACCGCGACATGCGTCAAACGCGCTACGCGACGCGACCAAATGAAAAGCTTCCTCGACGGGAACAGACGTCAATAGCCTCGTCCATGCATGAAAGGTTGGGCATCTCTGGTATTGATGCTGGACTAGATTGCAAGCATCTCAGTCACCTGCTCGTCGATGGCCGCGGTAGGGTCCTGAGCTGGATCGTCCGTCGTCGGTCGAACGCGGCCCCTGAGCGCTGCGTCGTAGATCAGTTCGAAAGTAGGCCAGCGCACGTTCTTCTCCTCCACATCGGGAGGCTCCTCCTGCGTCGTCTGGACCACGTTATTGCCCTGATCTTGCGTCGTCTCGGCCTCCGCCAAATCCGGAATGCATGACAGCGGCAGTTGACGAACTGGCAGCAAGTATTGTCGACGGAGAAGGTCGTCAACATTAGCGCAGGCATGGCAATCGTCTCCCTCGGGAATTCCTGGAACATCCCAACGCCCCCGGCACTCCACCTGGCCGCGATGGCGCCGGCGTGGCCCCGTGGCCCAAGGATATTCCAGGAGGGGGAACGCCCCGCAGTTCACGCGCGGTGGATTCGCGGTCCTGTCAGTCGGGATCCCCACAAAGTCGTTTGGGGAAACGTCCAGCGCAGCAGCTTCTTCAAGCTCCCTGCTGGCTGCATGCCTGGTGGCGCCGTCGAGTCCCAGGCTCCGCTTGTGGGCAACGCCCGTGTCCCTCGGGTCAATCCCTCCCCCTGGCGTAGCGACCGCGCGCGGGGGCGCCGCCGCCCTGCTCCGGCGGTTGACCAGGGCGGGAATGCCCATCGGGGACCAGGACGTAGACACCAACGGTCCCGACGTACTTCGGCCTGGGAAGTGCTGGATTGGAACTGGGCGACTGCGCGTCCTCGACTGTCTCCTTGACCGCGTCGTCGTCAACGTCTTCTTGGGAGGTAGGTGCGCAGACCAAGGTGCAGCAGCAGCACGTCTCTTGGGCCCTCCAGATGCCCTGAGCTTTGCTTCGGGCAGAGCCTGTAGCCGCGTTAGCTCCTCTCGCGCCTCTGCCTCCGCATCGGCCAAGAGCCTTTTCTCCGCGCAGGCTTCGTAGGGCGTCTCGGGGCGCTGCGGGGAGTCAGCAGCGGGGTCGGCGCTGGGTGATGCGCCTGGCGATCCATGGCTTGGACCTCCCCCCTGCTCGTCATCGCCCTCGCTAGAGCTCACGTCCGGGACGTCCTCGGCCTGCGCGGTCTGATGCTTGATCCTACCGTTCATACGGCGCCTCCAGTTCTCGGCCCTCATTGCTTCGAAAGCTTGCGTGGTCAGAGGGCGAGTGCGTTTGCCGAAGGACGTCGGACACAAAGTCCTTTCTGGTCAATTCTCGGATTCCTTTCGAGCCCTCTGCAGCTTCCTCCACGCCGGCCAGCAAGCTGACGTTGCTCCTCGTATCCTTCAGGGCGCACATGACCCTGTGGATCCATACTCGTAGCATCTTCCTGAAGTATCGGTTCCACGAGGCCCAGGCGCGGAAATTGTAGGTCGACTGCGAGACCTGGTTCTTTCTAGCACGCTGCATGCGTTGCATCTCCGAAAATACCGCGAACCTGTGCAGGAAGATCGGCAGTCCCTGCGTGTAGCCAGCCTTGTTCCCGACCTCGGGATCCACACCTTCTGTGACGTTGGCCTCGAGTTCCTCAAGTTGGCGTCGAGCTTGTGCGAATCGGTTATCCGCCTCGCGTCGTTGTTGGACCAGCGCGCTCCTGATCTGGAGCAGCGACAGGTACCGCTTCAACTCGGGCCGATGAGCATCAGCGCGATTGTCGTGGCCCGCTGCCTGCAGAGCGATGGTCCTCTGTCGCCGAGATAGCGAAGCTCTTTCCACGTGCTCCAAGTGCTCTGTCACGTTCTTCAAGCGACGTAGCTCAGTCTCGCGGTTTTGGCCGGTGGCCATGAAGAGCGCGACGCATCCTCCGAGGTGATGAATATTTGGGATGGGTTCGGACGGCACCCATTCCATGGGAGAGAATTCACGAAGCTCGAGGCGGCCCACCTGTCGAACATGTGGTAGTATTCGTCAACATTCCGCGCCCTGTTCTCGGTCTCGCATCGGCGCTTGATGTGGTATTCCGGCTCAAGCGCTCATTTTTCTCGTCCACCTGCCGCTCGGTGCCAGGTGAGATGCACCCAGGTCCGACATCCTCCATGGGCCCCAGGTCCAGAGCTCGTTCTCGTCATCCTCGCGGGCGAGGATACCACGGCCTTTCGAGTTTAGAGGACGCTGGGCGCACGGGTTCCGCATGGCGGTGGGCGCGCGCTGCCCATCACGCAGCACTGGTGCACCTCCTCGCCATCCAGGCTATCCACCTCGTCCACGTCCGAATAGTCCCGGGCGGCGCGGTACGCCCGCAGCGCCTCAAGGCCATGGTCCAGGCCAAACCCCCGCCGGGTCCGCTCCTGCAGGTCCTCCACCTCGGCGGCATTGGCCGCGTAGTAGAGCACCACGCTGAGCTTCCTGCCCTCCCTCCCTCCCTCTGCCCCTCCCTCTCTCGCCACAGGGGCGAGAGAGGGAGGGACAGACCTGGAGGCGTCCTCTTCTTCCTTCTCCTACTTCTCACCGTCCGGATCCCCTCAGACGCCCCTGGATTCTCAAGGAGTCACCGGAGGCCCCCCGAGGACCCGGCAGGCATGAGCTCCCTCTGGGGGCCTCAATTTCCCTCCTCCTTCACCTCCTCCTCCTCCTCCTCCTCCTCCTCCTCCTCCTCCTCCTCCTCCTCCTCCTCATCATCATCATCATCATCATCATCATCATCATCATCATCATCATCATCATCATCATCATCATCATTACCCTTCTCCTCCTCCAGGCCTCCGGTTTCATGACGCCGCCCCACCCGGAGCGGGAGGAGGGGGGCAGTGTGGGGTGCGCGGGGGGGCGTTGGCGCCTTGAGACGGGGACGTGGATAGAGCGCGTCGCACCGAGGCGCGGTGCGCCAGAACTGGCGGCGCGACACGCTAAGCCGAAGTTCGTGACCGCAGGCGGCCAGGGAACCTATACCGAGGGGAGGAGGGAGGGCCCTGGCATCTGGGAGGTGCTGTGGCCCTGGCCATGACGGCTGCCCCCCGAGTCCGTGGCGGGTCGTCACTCGCGCCTCCGGCGGCCACTCGCGGGGCGATGCAGGCCCCCCCGGGGCACTTTCGGCGAGCGGCGCAGCTGCCGAGCAGCACCCCGAGGCAAGAAAACCCCCGAGAGCCTGCGAAAACTGCCTCCCCCCTCCCCCGTCGGAATAACGCCCTCACGACCCATCTTGTCGGGACGCCCCCGAGACCCCCCTCCCTGAGCGGGACAGGGGCGGCCTTTGGGGCGCAGGAGGTGCGCCGAGAGCGCGGGCTTCCCCCTCCTCCCCCCTTCTTGCCTCACCCTCTTCCTCCAAGGTCGGTGGGCCTGGGGCAAAGTTCCAGCTCGGTCTGTCGAGGGTCTGGGTGCGGTGGGGCAGCTCCTCGCGAAGGTCGAAAAAGGAAGCTGGGGCGGAAGGAATGCGCAGGGCAGAGCTGAGTGGCCGACGGGGACGTGCACGGGAAATGTCTCCTCCTCCTCCTCCTCCTCCCCCTCCTCCTCCTCCTCCTCCTCCTCCTCCTCCTCCTCCTCCTCCTCCTCTCCCTCCTCCTGCTTCTCCCTGCAGGCCTCCTCGTCATCCTCTTTGCCTGTCTCCTCCCTCCACTTGTTCCTCCGACTGCAAGCGCCGACACGGTCTGTCGAGAGACCGCGCGCCGCCGACTCTGGGCTCCTCCTCCTCCTCCTCCTCCTCCTCCTCCTCCTCCTCCTCCTGCCTCCTCCACCTCCTCTTCCTCCGCCTCCTCCTCCTCCTCCTCTCCTCCACCTCCCACTCCTCCTCCTCCTCCTCCTCCTCCTCCTCCTCCTCCTCCTCCTCCTCCTCCTCCTCCTCCTCCTCCTCCCCCTCCGCTTCCGCATCCCCGACACCCGGGAGCGTGTGTGGGGGGGCCGCGGGCGGGGCGAGGAGGGCGCGGTGCAGGCCTCCCGCCGCGGGCGGGCGCTGCTCACAGCTCGTGGGCGCTGCCTCGGGCCGGGGCGGCGGAACGCCTCCTCCTCCTCGCCGCCGCCCCTGCCCCTACCCCCCAGCCCTTCGAGGGCGAGTTGCTCTCAGACCCTGACAAATGAACTCTCATGGCGTTTCCCCACTTCCATCCCCCTTCCCCCTCCCTCTCCCCTCCCGCTAACCCTCCACCCCATCCCACCCCCCCCCTCATCCCTCACCCGCCGTTCCTCCTCGCTCCCCTCCTCCTCGCCGCCGCCCTCCCCAAGCATGGAGGGCAAATTCACTTTTACAGAATTTCCCCCCGCCCCCCACCCCACACACCCCCTTCCCCCCACGCTCCTCCCTCAGCCCCCCCTTCCCTCCCCTCCACCCCCTCCCCTCCCGCCCCCTTCCGTTCCTCCTCTTCCCCACCTTCTCGCCGCCGCCCAAGCCCAACTTTGAGGACGATTTACTGTCAGACTCTGGCAAATTAGATTTTCATTGGCATTTCCCCCTCCCCCCCTTCCCCCTGCATCCCCCCTCCCCCTCCGACCCCCATCGCCTCCTTTCCCCCTTCTGGTACTCCTCGTTCCCCTCCTGCTCGCCGCCGCCGCTGCCAAGCTTTGGGGACGATTTACTGTCAGACTCTGGCAAGTTAACTTTCATTGGCATTTCTCCCTCCCCACCCTTCCCCCTTCCTCCCCCTCCCCCTCCCACACCCCATCCCCTCCTTTCCCCCATCCGTTACTACTCCTCGTTCCCCTCCTGCTCGCACCCGCCCCTGCCAAGCTTTGGGGGCGATGTACTCCAGACTCTGGCAAGTTCTCATGGCATTTCCTGCCCCCTTCCCTCCCCCCCCCTTCCGCCTCCCCCCCCCCCCCCCTCCCTCCCTCCCCCTCCCCCCTCCGTTCCTCCTCGCTCCCCTCCTCTCCTCGCAGTCGCCCGCCCCAAGCATGGAGGGCGATTTACTTTCAGACTCTAGCAATCCATTGAGTTTCATGCCTTCACCCCCCCCTTCCCCGTCCGTCCAAATTACTCAATATGAATACTTCTCTCCCTCTTCCCCTGATGACGGCTTGAAAGTATTAGCTCCCCCCCCCCGCGTACTGTTTTCTACACACAGGATTCCCCCGAGTTGGGTTTTCGCCCGCATTTGTTTCTAAAATGCTGCTCTCGCTGAGGCGCCGGCCTCATTTTCGGGCCCGCTCGTTCCGAATCGTGCTCCCGCTGCAGCGCTGGCCTCATTTCCGTGTTTCCGCTCGTTCCGAACCGTGCTCCCGCTGCAGCACTGGCCTCATTTCCGCGCTTCCGCTCGTTCCGACTCGTGCTCCCGCTGCAAGCTGGCGTCATTTCCCGGGCCATGCCACGGCATGCAATGCAATGCTACGTTGATGCTACGCTTTGCGGTGCTCTTCTACGCCATGCCATGCCGTGCTCTACAATGCATCGCGTACCCTTTCGGGATCATTGCCCTGTTCGACATCCGACTGTGCGAGTAGAGAGGTGATCTACGCCATGGTAAGGGATGGGAGGGAGGGGTAGGATGTCAGATATGACGCGAGCGCACCTAGCTTGCCCTCACCCCTCTCCCTCCCCCGAACCCCCTCCTCCCCCCATCCCCCTCCGGTTCTTCCTCGCTCCCCGCCTCCTCGCGCCCGCCCCTGCAAAGCTTTGAGGGCAATTTACTTTGGAATCTAGCAAGATAAGTTGTGCATGGCATTCCCTCCCTTTCCTTCCCCTTCCCTCCCCCCTCCCTCCCCCCTCCCTCTCACCCTCCCACTCCCCTCCCTCCCCCCTCCGTTCCTTCTCGCTCCCCTCCGTCTCGCCACCGCCCGCGCCAAGCATTGTTGGCGATGTGCTTCAGACTCTGGCAACTGTCGTGGCGTTCCCCCCCCTCCCTCCAAAATTACATCATATGAATACTACTCTTATCTCTTCCCGGATGACGTCCAGAAAATGATCGCCCCCCTCCACGTATTGCTTTCTTGCACACACAGGATTCCAGTGACTTGTTTTTGTTCGTTGGGCTTTTCCAACATGTTGCTCCCGCTGAGGCGCTGGCATTCTTTTCGGGCTTCCGCTCGTCCCGAATCGTGTTCCCGCTGCAACACTGGCCTCATTTCCGCGCTTCCGCTCGTTCCGAATCGTGCTCCCGCTGTAGCGCTGGCCTTATTTCCGCGCTTCCTCTCGTTCCGAATCGGGCTCCCTCTGTAGCGCAGGCGGCGTTATTTCCAGTGCCATGCCACGACATGCAATGCAATGCGATGTGATGTTCCGCAGTGCGATACCATGCCTTCAGCAGCAATGCTAGGATACGCAGTGCTTGACTACGCAGGATCATGCCATGCTATGCCATGCTACGATTTGATCGTCAACGCCATGCTATGTCATGCTCTGTTCTGTGCCGCCGTGCGATGCCGTTCTTTGCGTTGCAATGCTTCGTGCTGCGATTATTCATTACGCAACGCCACGCCATGCTATTGCAGACTACGCTCTGCAGTATAATTACATGCCCTGCTTTGCCGTGCTCTACGGTGCATCGTGCACCCTCTCGGGATCATTGCCCTGGTCGCCATCCGACTGTACGAACAGAGAGGAGAGCTACGCCATGGTAAGAGATGGGAGGGAGGGGTAGGACATCAGACATGACGCGAGCGCACCTGGCTTGCCCCTCCCCCTCCCCCCCCTCCCCCTCTCCGCCCATCCCTTCTCCATCCGTTCCTCCTCGCTCCCCGCCTCCTCGCCGCCACCCGCGCAAAGCATGGAGGGCGCTCAAACATTCAGACCCCCTTCAGACTCCAGTTCGTTTACTTATGTGGCATTCTCCCCTCTCCCCTCTCTCCCTCCCCATTCTCCCCTCCCCATTCCTCGCCTCTCCCTTCCCCCGCCCCTCTCCCCCCTCCCCATCCGCCGCCAAGCCAGGCAAGGCCGGGCCGAAACGGCGTGCGAAGGAGTCCCGATTTAATTGTGCATCTCCTTTCAGGGCTTGCCGCGCTGGCCCCCTCCTCCCCCCCCGCGCAAGCAAACTAGCCAGAGTCTACAGAAGCCCTGTCTCTCTGTCCTCGACCCTCAAGGTGTCGCGTGGGGAGGGTCTTCGGACGTTTTGCTGGCCCCTGCCGAACCTCCTCCAGAGACCTCCTCTGGAGACCTCCAGGGGTCAGGATCTGCGGCAACAGCATGACTTAATCGGCCACACGCCTCACCGCTCTTCCTCCTCCTCCTCCTCCTCCTCCTCATCCTCCTCGTTCTCCTCTGAGGGAACAACTTACAGCATAGGCATCATATTTCGGGTATTAGCGCGGATTTCATGGATCAGGAGGACCCACCTCGTGGCTCCTCTGGCGCCGCCCCTGTCACGCCAGGAAGGGTGGCCCGACGACGATCCAAGCAATCCGAGCGGACCTCCAACAGCTGTTCTTCATGCAACATGGTATTATTTATGTCCTCCTGCTTCTCCTCCTCGCTCTCCTCCAACCGAGGTCCCAGGTTCGATGTCCTCCCGCCTCTCGACCCCGATCACTCCTGCTCGCACTGCTTCCCTTTTCCACCTGCCTCGTCCTCCTCCCCCCTTCCCCCCCACCACTTTCGTCCTTGCCGTCGTCGTCCTCCTCCATGGCCTCCTCCTCCGCCCCTTCCTCCCGCTCCCCCATTCCTCATTGTCGCCTCCCTCCTCCTCCCCCTCCGCCCCTGCCCCTCCCGGCCCCTGCACCCATCCCCCCCATCGGTGCCCCTCCCTCCCTCCCTCCCCGCCGCTCCTCCTGGAGACCTCCGGAGGTCCGGGCGGTCGCGGGGCGCTTCCCGAACGCGCCTCCTGCGCTGCTGTTTTTGGGCGGCTCGGATCTTGGGCCTGAGAGCGGCTCCCCCTGGAGTCCGAGCCCGGAGACGCGCCTCCCGGACCCTCGGCCTTCGACCCCTCCGACTCGCCATCTCCCAGACGTCCACTCCACGTGATTTGTTCGCTGTCCTGCGTGCATTTTTTCGCAAGGTGGCCCAGGAGGCCCCCCGATGGCCCTCGCCAACAAAAATGCACACTCCGAGCGGTGCCAAGCCCGGGGCAAGCCAGGGCTGGCCCCCGTCCGGAGCTCACCGACCACGGAGGCCTCCTGGAGCCTCAGGGAGGCCCAGGCCGAACACGTTGTCGGAGAGTCGGCGTCCGGTGCTGGACCCTCCCGCCCGCCCTCCCTCCCTCGAGGGCCGCGGAGGCCCCTGGCAGGCCAATTCCTGGTGGTATTTACACCTTGCTCGTAGCAGGTTTGTGCGTCACAATCGGATTATCAGAAAGCTTAAATTTCGAATCTTTCCCTCCTGCTTTCTCAATAAAAGGCTCGCGCTCGATCGGCACTCGAAAATTGAATACACGAGGCTGGGCTTGCACTGACCTGGATCGAATCGCGAGCGCGGATCGGATCGCAGGCGGCTCGCCCGGAAACGAGCTGGGATCGGATCGCCGCGCCAGGCTCAGGCAGGCTCTGCCCGATGCGATGCCAGTGAGCACCAGACCAAACGAAACAACATCGGAATCGCGCCCGCTGGCCATCGCTCGGACGTCCAGTTCCTGTGTTTTTGTTCGGTTTCGTGCGTGGATTTTTCGCGAAATGATCAAGGATGCTCCTCGATGGTCCTCGCCGAGGGAAAAATGCACACGTCCGAGCGATGCCAAGGCCCGCCCCCCCGCCCCCCCGCCGCGGCGATTCGAATCGTATCGCACCGGATCGCCAGGACATGCGACAGACTGTGCTTTCCTTCCGGGGCCCCCGGTAATCCCGACCCTTTCCCCAGGGCCGCTTTTTCAACCCGAGACGTTTCTTGACGAATCCGGGGCTCGGTTTAGGTCGGGCACGTCTTCCTGCAGGCGAATTTGTGTTGAGGAAAAATTTGCATTATTAAAACATATTCAAAACATGTAATCGAAGCATCTTCCCTAGACTATGTTTCAAACTATGTTTCCCATCCATCCTGTGGTGTTGGGTCCTCGTTTTGAAGAGACAGCGCAGCGCCCCGCGTTCCTCACTCCTTCCTCCTCGCCTCCCTCCCTCCTCGCCCTCCTCCTTCCGCCTTGCGTTTCGCCCACCCAGTACAACGTTTCGTGGCCCCAAAGAGAGCTCCACCGAAGTGGCAGGGTCCGCATGGCGGCCCCGCGATTTGGCGCACCCCTCACACGCTTCGTGGCCTCACATGGAACTCCACCGAAGGCCACGGTGGCATGGTCCGCATGGCGGCCCCGCCCCATTTTGGCGCACCCCTCACACGCTTCGTGGCCTCATATGGAACTCCACCGAAGGCCACGGTGGCAGGGTTCGCATGCCGGCGGCCCCGCCCCATTTTGGCGCACCCCTCAGACGGTTCGCGGCCCCATAGGGAGCTCCACCGAAGGCCCCAGTGGCAGGGTTTGCGTGGCGGCCCCGCCCCATTTTGGCGCACCCCTCGTAGGGTCTGTGGCCCCATAGGGAGCTCCACCGAAGGCCACGGTGGCATGGTCCGCATGGCGGCTCCGCCCCATTGTTTTGGCGCATCCCTCACACGGTTCGTGGCCCCAGAGGAAGTTCCACCGAAGACTGGAGTTTCAGGGTTCGTATAGCGGCTTCGCCCAATTTTGGCGCACCTCTCACACGGTTTGTGGCCCCATAGGGAGCTCCACCGAAGGCCCCAGTGACAGGGTTCGCATGGCGGTGTCGCCCCATTTTGGCGCACCCCTCACACGGTTCGTGGCCCCAAAGGGAGCTCCACCGAAGGCCCCAGTGGCAGGGTTCGCATGGCGGCTCCGCCCCATTGTTTTGGCGCATCCATCACACGGTTCGTGGCCCCATAGGAAGTTCCACCTAAGACTGGAGTTTCAGGGTTCGCATGGCGACTGCGCCCCATTGTGGCGCACCCCTCACACGCTTCGTGGCCCCATAGGGAGCTCCACCGACGGCCCCAGTGGCACGGTTCGCATGGCGGTGTCGCCCCATTTTCGCGACCCCTCACACGGTTCGTGGCCCCATAGGGAGCTCCACCGAAGACCCCAGTGGCACAGTTCGCATGGCGGTTCCGCCCTGTTTGAGCGCACCCCTCACACGATTCGTGGCCCCATAGGGAGCTCCACCGAAGGCCCCGGTGTCAGGGTTCGCATAGCGGCTCCGCCCCATTGTGGCGCACCCCTCACATGGTTCGTGGCCCAGAGAAAGCTCCACCAAAGGCCCCGGTGGCAGGGTTCGCATGGCGGCTCCGTGGCCCCATAAGGAGCTCCACCGAAGGCCACAGTGGCAGGGTTCGTTTGGCGGCTCCGCCCCATTGTTTTGGCGCACCTCTCACACGGCTCGTGGCCCTCAAGGGAGCTCCACCGAAGGCCACGGTGGCAGGGTTCGCATTGCGGCCCCGCCCCATTGTGGCGCACCCCTCGCACGGTTCGTGGCCCCAAAGGGAGCTCCACCGAAGGTCCCAGTGGCAGGGTTCGCGTGGCGGCCCCGCCCCATCTTGGCGCACCCCTCGTAGGGTCTGTGGCCCCATAGGGAGCTCCACCGAAGGCCACGGTGACAAGGTTCGCATGGCGGCTCCGCCCCGTTTTGGCGCACCCCTCACACGGTTCGTGGCCCCATAAGGAGCTCCACCGAAGGCCACAGTGACAGGGTTCGTATGGCGGCTCCGCCCCATTGTTTTGGCGCACCCCTCACACGGTTCGTGGCCCCCAAGGGAGCTCCACCGAAGGCCCCAGAGGCAGGGTTTGCGTGGCGGCCCCGCCCCATTGTGGCGCACCCCTCACACGGTTCGTGGCCCCATAGGGAGCTCCACCGAAGGCCCCAGTGGCAGGGTTCGCATGGCGGCCCCGCCACATCGTTTTGGCGAACCCCTCACACGATTCGTGGCCCCACTGGGAATGCCCCTTGTTTCGTACCACCTGCCGTGCGATTCTCGCACTTTGGTATGGTCGGGCCCTTCGCCAGGATCATTGAATCGGCATTCCTCCTGCATGGTTTCGCGCCCGCCTTTTAAGGCTCGGCGAAGGTCAGAGGCGGACAGCGCAGCCAAAGCCCTTCCGTCGCGATGCTGCGTCCGGAAGGCCACCGACGCAGGCGGTGGGAGCTTCAGGCTGTGGCAAGGTTCCCCCTTGGCACCCCCGGCTGTGCCCCGGGGTGCGCGCCCCTGGCAGCATTGCGCGGGAGGGCGAGGGAGAGGACGAGAAGGGGGCAGGACGAGGAGGGGAAGGACGTGTGTGTGGGGGGGGGGGGCGGTTAGAACTATATGACCCTCTGAGGTCAGGCTAGAAGAAGAAACAACGGCACACACACATACACCTTTGCGGGCTCCGCGCGGACTCCTTCGATCCGCGCGGAGCGCCAAAATCTCGTGTTTGTGCCGATGTGTCTTCTTCGACAGGCGCCCCTGCCTCCGATGAGGCCGCCTCCGGTGAGGGCGCCAAAAGTCAGGCAGGGGCGCCTGCCGAGGAAGAAAAAACGACACAAACACTAAATTGTGGCACTCCGCGCGAATCCAAGAAATCCGCGCGGACGGAGCGCCAAAGGTTTATGTGTGTGCCGTTGTTTCTTCTTCTAGCCTGCGCTCAGAGGGTCATGTAGTGCTAACCGCCCCCCCACACCACCTCCTCCCAGAGCTCTCGGCAGCTCGTCCTTCCCCTCCTCGTCCTGCCCCTCCTCGTCCTCCCCGTCGCCCTCCCGCGCAATGCTGCCAGGGGCGCGCACCCCCGGGGCACAGCCGGGGGTGCCGAGGGGGAGCTTTCCCACAGCCGGAGGCGCCCACCGCCTGCGTCGGTGGCCCTCCGGACGTGCCTCGCGCGGTGGCAGCACCGCGACGGGAGGACTGTGGCTGCGGGCTCCCAGGTCATGAAACATGGTCGGCTCGGCGCCCCTGGATACGTATATTGTCCCCCCCCCACCTCCGTGCTCCCCGCCCCCCCCGTGCTACCCCCTCCCCCCCCGTGCTCCCCCCCCCCCGTGCTACCCCCCTCCCCCCCCCGTGCTATGCGCCCCCACCGTCGCCTCCGACCTCGGGCACGCACGAAGCCACCCGGCGTCGGCGTAGCCGCCGCCGTCGCCAGCGCCATCGTGGTCGCCGTGGTTGTCGTCGCAGACGGCGCTGTCGACATGATCGTCGTCGCCGCTGCCGCCGCCGGCGTCGCCGTGGTCGCGGCCCGTGTCGTCATCCTCGTCGTGGTTGTCGTGGTCATCGTCGCGGTCAACGCCGTCGTCGTCAACTTCGTCAGTATCGTCAACGTCGTTGTCGTCAACGTCGTCAGCATCTCGTAGTCACCGTCGTCGCCAGCGTCGTCATGGTCGTCGGTCTGCCGACGCACCAAGGCCGCGCTCGCAAGGCGGGGACGCGAATGGATGGGAACCTCGACGCGCCTTGGCGTTGTGGAAAGATCCGGAGGTTGACAAGCTCCTGGATCCTGCAGAGCGTCGCCGTCGCGGGGTGAGGGACGAGCGATTCAGGAGGCAACTCCTGGGAGGTCTTCGTCAGAACAGTTGAAGAAGTGAGCCCGATTGAGGGACCACTGAGCTGCATCAAGCCGGATGGAACGGGTTTGAACCAGATCATGCGGGACTAAGACAAATGAGGCCAATAATCGACCAGGGATGTACCAGCGCCGAGTCTGAATTTAACCTCCCAGGATTTGCATCTGAAGGAGCATGAGGGCCTAGAAGGAGCAGGCAACGTAGAGGGGAGTGGGGGCGGGAAAGCGTGGAGGAGGAAGGGGAGCAGGAGTTGGAGGAGGAGGAGGAGGAGGCGGAGGAGATGAAGGAGGGTGAAGAGGACAGGGAGGACGCGCTCAGGAGGACAATGAGGACGACGACTTGTAGGGCGGACGGAATCGGACTGCGTGCAACTTCGTCGCCAAGGAGGGCTCTTCCGAGGCTTTGTGATTTCGGGCGTGGCCCGATAGTAATCTGACTGGCTGGCTGACTCGTCACGCACGTAAACAGGCCGTTGAATATCTTCGGCCGCCGAATGTCCAACCCACGCCCCAAGCAGTAATATGCTCGGCTGCCAGGTGCGCGTTCTTTGGTGGAGCCAATAATGACCAGTCGTTCATCTCGCCAACAGCTTGGTGTCGTGGCATCAATCACCTCGCTGCGTGGAAGAATTTCGTGATCAAACCACGCTCTGCCCAATCCTGCATGTTCTGAGCCGCGGCATCCTCGCAACGCGCTCGGTTGCGCGCCTTCGCTGGGGCTCTCACCCATACCATGATCAATACTAGCATGGGGGAGCGACTCTCACGTTGCTGAGGCTGACGTGGCACTGTTCATGCGATCGCCATCGACATCATGGCATCAAACAGCTGCGCATCAGCTGTGCAAGGACTCCGTATCTGCACACACGCAGAGCAATTCTGACCACTGGCGTACGTCCTCTGCATCCGGTTCGCGGTGGCGCTCCACACCGCGGTCCGAAATGGACGCCACAATGCTCTGACAGGCCACCTTCCGAGGAAACAACACGTTGGCGTAATGAGTCATGATGGCCACAACCATATCCAGTAGCTTAGGCTCACTGGCCTGGGCTCTCACGTGAGCGTTGCGCCTCGCACGGCTCACATACTGTCCCCATTATCGCGGGCCTACCATTCCACGATATCTTGCGGCAGGACCCAGAAAGGTGAAGCACACCTGGGCTTCCAGAGTACCGGGAGAACACGTCGGAGATGGAGGCTTTGCTGTCCATGATTCGCCCATGAGTCTACTGCATGCTGCAACCTGATGTAACATGCCGCGAGGACGCCCTTTTCGAAGCTCGTCTTGCCTTGGCTGCCAGCATTCTGAGAGCACAAGCCCACAATGGTGGCTCGTTTCTCGGCGAACTACCGACTGGGCTGCATCGTCAGAGTCGCTGCAACAGAGCGGGAGTGAAGGTTGAGCGTCTTCTCACCCTTCAGCACAACACTGTCTTCGATGGGCGTCCGTACGTGCGGCGTCTGCTTGGCTGAATCGCCGCCACTTCGTACATTCATGGAGTTGGTTGCCGACAGCGTTGGGACACCCCATGCGCCTGGGTAGCGCCCCGCTCTGGACAGGCGCAGTGGGCTGCATGTGGACCAGCATCCGACGAAGGTCTCGAGAGCGCGGGGCCATCTCAAACTTCTCGTGCACCAGCTCGGGAATAACGCGCACGTCGCATGCGACAACGTTCAAACGATCTTCGAAGCCACGCAGGAGTGATCCGCGCTGGGGCTCGGTCACCAACATGCGACACCAATGTGTACAGCTGCACGGCCATCGTGACCCGAAGCATGTCCTGGGGATAGCTCGGCGGCTCCAAACATCACTTTGGTGATGACGCACTCGCCAGCGCAAGAGGGACAGCACATCCACAATGCTGTAGCTTGTGACTCTGAGTGATTGCAGCGCGCCGCTTCTCGATCCATGGCACAGGGGTCCAAGGGAATAACTTCCATGTCACTGTGGCCCTGGGAAGAAGTTGGCTTCTCCGCTAGAGATTAGATTAACTGTTGGCGACTCGACCAGCTCGCGCGCCTTGCAATCCGAGCACTCCGACAATAAAGGACGCATTCATGTAAACGACTTGGTATCACACAAACACACACACTTGGCCTTTTTTATGAATTTGAAGCTTGAACATACGCTGCGGCCCATGCAGGAAGACGGTGCGACGAGACAGATCCTAAGCGAGATCAAGAAATTTGATCTGCGGATGCAGACAAAGATGTGGACGGGGAAAGCGAGATGCTAACGGGGAGGGGAAAGAAAACGGAGAGCGAAAATGGTACGGAGGAAACGGAAGAATAACGGCACGCCGAGGTGATGAAGATGAAGGGCATAGGTTTACTCACACCGAGACGGACAGAGAGGATGAGCGGGATGGAGGTAAGAAGGAGTAGGAGCACTATTGGGAGACGAATTGAGACGTGTGACATGATTGGAATAGTATGACGATCAGAGTGATGCAAGCAGCAATGCTTTGACTACTGATGATTCGAGTGGTGATGGCAATCACGGTGATCAGGATGTGCAGAACGAAACAGAAAAGCGTCGATGAACTTCCAACAGGAGGAAGGAAGAACTATATCCTACAGGACGGCGGTGCAGATGACAAAACGGAAGAACTACAGTAAGAAAAGGAACATGCAACAACGGTGACTGCGGATCTCACGAGGGTGCAGTAAGGAACGATAGGTGGGCGCTGACAATGATGGGGAGAAGGGATGCGGGAGAGGACGAGGCACACAAGGGGATACCCATACTTACCATGCAATCGTTCAGTGAGTGTGTGCGCGCACAGAAATACAAAGTGATACGCAATCTAAGCGGGAGCGGGAGAGCAAGGGATGATGAAGTGGAACAGGGAGGCGATCAGGAAGGGCAGTGGCAATGACGAGAGCCATGAGGAAGGATGATAGTGTGTGGGGAAGAAGGACCGTGTGTGTGCGCGCGTGTGTGTGTGTGTGTGTGCGTGTGTGTGTGTGTGTGAGAGAGAGTGCGTGCGTGCGTGCGTGCGTGCGTGCGAGCGTGCGTGCGTGCGTGCGTGCGTGCGTGCGTGCGTGCGTGCGTGTGTTTGTGTGTGTGTGTGTGTGCGTTTGTGTGTGTGTGTGTGTGGGTGGGTGGGTGGGTGGTGGGGTGGGGGGGGCGAGTGACCGGTCGAGGACGCGGAGGAGAGCGGGAGTACACAGGGAAAGATGGGGGCCTGGTGGAGGAGGTGGGGGATGCGTGGAGGAAGGCGAGGGGAGAAAGGACACGAGGAAAAGAAAGGGAGGTAGCGGAGGAGATGGGTGGGGGGTGAGATGAGACTATTGGAGCGGGTCGAAAACATGATGATCATTCGTAGCACGATGCATTGGAAGGAAGACAAGGAGGAGTCCGAAGGGATTAGGAACACGATGAGGAGGCCGAAGGGATTTTGAGGTACAGGACAGGTGGTGGCATGAAGGCGGCGGCGAAGGAGGCGGAGGAAGGTGGACGGGGAGGAGGGGGCGGGAGGAGTGAGACAGGGAAGATTGGCAGAAGGGGGGCGAGGAGGAGACGGCAGAGGATGGGGGAAGGGCGGGCGAGGACGGGGGGGCACGCCGAGGACGAGGTGGATCACTGACCAATTTGCCAGAACAGTCCCTGGGCCGAGGAGGGATTGTCAAAGGGGAAGCGTCCGCCACCTGGGGAACCCCCCCTCGCAGCCTGTCCAGGCTGGCTGCTCACGAGAACGAACCCTGGCTGGCAGCCCAAGGGGCGACGGGGGAGGGTCGAGGAGGGAGGAGGGGAAGGGGCGAGGGAAGGGAAGGGTGGAGGGGGGGAAGGGAAGGGGAAGGAGGGGAAAGGGAAGGGAAGCTGGGGAAGGGGCGATGGAGGGAGGGGGAGCGCAGGGGCCCGGGGCAGAGGGGAGGGCTGGCCCGCGGAGGCGGGGGGGGGACGGGCAGGAGGAGTCCTGCAGATCGCGCTCCCCTCCTCGCAGGCACCCACGGCCTCCACCGCCTTCCGCTCCTCCTCGGAGGGCCACAAAATCCCCCCCCCCATCAGAACCACCCCGACAAGCCAGGCCGTTCAGCAAACGCTCCCGAAGAAGGAATCGAACAGGGCCAGGCTTTTCGTAAACGCCCAGGGCCGCCTAATGGACGCCACTTGTCCGGTCTGGGTGGTTTCTTCTCCCTTGACTCCTTGCGCAACTTGATGCCCCGGGCGGCCGTGAGGTCGTAGTCTTTGCTGGCCCCGGTCACGGCCCGGCCGCGCGCAGAGAGGGGCCCCGGGCAGCAGTGATCTCTGGCCGTGGTTTCGGCTTCGGCCGTGGTGCGCCTCGCAGCGCCCTGGACGTAGCTCACCCGAGTCCCAAGGTCCCCAGGAGGCCCCCCTTCTCCTCCTCCTCCTCCTCCTCCTCCTCCTCTTCCTCCTCCTCCCCCTCCTCCAACTACTTGCCCTCCCTGTCCTCCATCTTCTCCTGCTTTCTCTTCATCCTCAACATTCTCCCCCCAGAGATCTCACGACGGCTGGGGGGCTGCATCGTCCAGATCCGGGGCGTCCAAGAGGGGGCCGCCCAAGAGAGAGGCTCGCAAATCATCGCCAGAGGCCTGTGCGCGGGCGAGGGGGGACCAGAGGACGGACGTGCTGCAAGAGGAGGGGCCCTGAGATCTGAGGAAACATCATGGCCCCCGCCATGATGTCCCCACCCCCCCAGGCCGTCAGCTTCCTCCTGGACGCTCCCCCGGCCAGCGCCACGCACCGGCGGCCGGGAAGCAGCCGAGGGAGTCTGCACTGGATGGGCCCCGCGAGAAAAAACCGCTCGGGAGGGCAGTGCGACGGCAAAGGCGCTTCACATCGGTCCCCATGCTTAGGTCGGGCGTGTCCTGCTACAGGCGGATTTTGGACGAAAAACAAGCGATAGCCAGAAAATGATCAAAAATTGTCAAAGATGGTCAAAAAGTCGTTCCCCTATTTTTGTTGGGCTATATTTGAATGTTCATCCTGTAGGGTCGTAGAGGGACAAGCCAGGCTTAACCCCAGGCAGACCTCTGCCGCGGTCGTCGAAGTGGCTACCTGTTCGAGGCGCGCCTGGCCGTGGCGAACAGGCGCGGGTTGGGGGGCTTTTTCTGCCCCCTGACTTAGAGGAGCCCAAGGGCACAAGAATACATACACGCGAACCCCAGGCCCAGGATTCCCCATATTTTCCGGTACGTTCAGGGTTTTCGTCTTCCCCGCCACTTCCCACATGTTCCCATCTTTTCCTGGGAATCGAAGATTCATTCTGCCTGTGCGTGTGTTTCCCCTCCTGCTGCCTGCTGGCTGGAACCAGGGTTCGACGCCTCTCGAACCCTGGTCCGAGTAGATGGGGGGTTGGAGGAACACGCCCCACCGCCGATGCATCGGCGATGCATCGGCGACGCTGGCGATGTGTCGGCGAGGTCGGCGTTCAGGAAATCTAGCTCTGACGAATCAGCAACACACACACACCCATACCCATAGGGGGATCGGAGAGGGCTATGGGTACGTGTTGTCGGATGGGGGTCCCCGCTCGAACGGGAGCGTTCCCCAGGGTCCGACAACCCGCACCCGTACCCCTAGCCAGTCCTCCTCCCAACGACCCCCCTATGGGTATGGGTGCGTGTTGTTCGTTCGTCCAGCTCTGCATCGAGCCGCATCGCGGATCGCATCCTCCGACCCCCCTCGGCCAGTCGGACCCCGGCCAGAAGCACACCCCTCGAGAACGCGAGCGATGCCCCTCGTCGGTCGAGACGCACAAGAACACCCAGGGGGGTACCCTCCCCAGGATGCACAAAAGAGCATCCAGCAGGCACAAAGAGCAGCAGGGTGCCCTCTCTCCGAGTCGACTCCTCCCCCTCCTCCTCCTCCTCCTCCTCCTCCTCCTCCTCCTCCTCCTGCCTCGATCTTATACCTCGGCCCGCAGTGTGCTCGGACCCCACGCGGGAGGCCTGGAGGTGCCGGGCCACCTCCCCCCCCCCGAGACCACCTCGGCGGAGGGCCGCTCCTGCGCGCCGCCGCATGAGATACGAGGCCGCCCGCGGCCCGTCCTGGAAGGAACCCAAAGGTGCAGCAGCAGCAGCAGCAACTCTCGGAGGTCCGGGCGGATCTCTGTCCACGAGGGGCGGGCGTGTCCACGTCCACGCCTCGTGTCGGCGTCTGGATCGCGGGGCGCGATCCCGCGGAGACGCGGTCGTAGGGGCACGTGCGGCGCGGGGCATCCGCGAGAAGGCGGCGGGTGTCCGCGGGGTCGTGGCACAGGGGCCCACTCCGCGAGGCCGTGGATGCAGATGTGTCTTTCGCGTACGACGTCTTGGACCTGCATTGGACAGCCGTCCCTGGCGCGCGGAGCGCGCCAGGGGCGGCGCCAGAGACGCCGCCAGGGGGGCCCAGCGCAGACTAAAGACATCTGCGCGGACCTCTGACAGTTCACGGTCGGGAACTGTTGTATGGCGTGTCGCCGCGGCGGCCCCGGCGACACACCATGCCCTGCGAACGGATAGCGTGACGCCACGCTCCGCGAGGCGGGAGGCTCGGAAATGCTCGGAACGTTGACGCCTAGGGGCTGGGAAGTGGACATCGTGTCCCACCAAAACGTGGTGGGCAAGATCCGGCGGAGCGGCACGCTTTCTAAAAGTTCACGACCGTACATTCAACGCGTACAATACCTAAGGATCAACGAAGGATGCATGGCCCTGGAAAGCCATTTCGACACCTGTCGAGCAGGGCGCGGCCAGAGACTGCAAGGGGAACCTTGGAGAGACGTTCACCCTTACCATGCGCAGCCTCAACGACTGTCTGTTTCTCGGGAGCGGCCAAGAGGGGGGTGTCCAAGAGGGGGGGGTGCAAATCATGACCGTCGGCATGTGCGCGGACCAGCGGGGGGGCCAGGGACGTAATGACATAAGAAGAGGCGCCATGACATCAGGGGAACTATCATGGCCCACGCCATGATATCCACCCCCCCCTAGTCATCACCCCCCTCTGTTCCGCCCCCGAGTTTCTGCCGCCTTTTTCTTCTCCGACGTCCCAGCCGGTCTCGAAGGACACCGCGCTCAGCGTGTCCCGGGAGTCCTGGCCGGGCGGCGCGGGGGTTGCCGCGGCGGGGCGCCTCGGGCGCGCGTGTGCGCGCGCCAGGGGGGTGCGCCTGGCACGACCGTGGGCGTTCGCTGCGCTCTCCTCCTCCGCTTCCTCGTCATCACCACCATCATCATCGTCATCACCATCATCATCTTCATCATCATCACCATCATCATTTTCATCACCATCATCATCACCATCATCATCATCATCATCACCATCATCATCAGCATAATCATCATCAACATCATCAGCACCACGATCATCAGCACATGCATCATTAACCTGATCACTATGACCATCACCATCATCACCATCTTCAACACCAGCATCATCAGCATCATCCCCGTCCCCATCCTCATCCTCATCTTCAAAATCATCAGCGTCACCATCATCATCCGCCGCCTTATCACAGCCATTGCCAGCATCACCCTGACCATCGTCATGGCCTCGTGTTTACAGCAGGTGCGCGCCAAAAGGTCGTGTGTGTGTGTGTGCGCGTTGGTGCCAAGTTCCATCGCCTCACCGCGCAAGCCGGGGCCCCGCCGTCCAACGGGCTCGCGGCAGGACAGCACGAACCATGGCCATATTTCCACACGGCCAGTCCACGCGCCCGTCACGGGCCCAACATACACCCCTGGCCCGCGGCCCCGACGGTTTGCAAAAGGACAACCCACGGCCCAGAAGGGGTTGCAGTGGGCTGCCAAGGGGGCCCCTTTCCCAAGGATGCCATGGGGGACCCTCGGGGTCGAAGCCCCGCCTTCGGCGAGGGGTGGCGCAAGGGTCAACTGAATTCAGGGGTGAACGCGGCCCTCCGGGGCTGTCTCTGAAACCGCCTAATCTCAGACCTCGAAAGTGAAGCGAGGACCTTCGTAGCACGAGACGGGCATGGTCAAACCCATGCTCCTCAGGCCGAAGACAGCAGATGTTCGGGGGCAGCTGGCGGGATCGGCCCTGGGCCCAACCAGTTTCAGAAGTAACTGTCGCGCTTGCCAGTGTCTACGGCAGACGTGCGCCACGGCGTCGCGCTTGCGCGTGCGCGCTGGCGCCACATTCGCTCGGCCCGTCTCCAGGAAACCCTGGCTGGTGGGGATATTTTTTTGGGTCGCGGCCGCCAGCGAAGAGCGCAGGCGGCGAACAGGGTGTCCAGGCCGACGGGCTAACCTAATTAGCTGCTGGGCGGCACTGGCCGGCCAGGCCAGCTCACAAAAGCAGCTGGTGGGGATACTTTTTGTTGGTTGGCGGCTCCAGGACAAGGGTCAAGAAGCGGGATAAACGGCTGGGGCACATGCCGTAGATAATTGGCCAAAGCAGCGCGTAAGCGAGTGCACGTGCGAGGGACAAAATGACCCTCATTAGAAGTGATGCAAGGGACAGATGACCCTAATTGAGCACGGCAAACCGATGTAGACGTCCCGACGGGTGGAGACGCCACGCCGCGACGTGCCGCGGTAGTTGCGTCCAGCGTGGAGAAGTCGCACCACACGACGCAGCGAGCGACGGCAACAGCTGTACGGCTAGCCATGTGTACTGTAGCAGCGCGGGGAAGTCGCCCTGTCGGCGCCAAGCTCCGGCCGAGACACACGGAAGCTGGTGGGGATACGCAAAGCGTCAAGAGTTGTCTCGAAGACACTGCCGACCAAAACTTTGGAAATCATGCCCGGAGGAAACGGAAAATACAGCGTGCCAGCCGGCAGCTGACGCTTGCCCGGGCGCGCCAGCGTCCTGGTTTATCAGAGAGTCTCCGTTTAGGGGGGCCCTGAGCCCAGACTGTTGCAGGAGAGCTTGGTGCAGAGATGTGGGTGACCCAAAAGGGGGTCCAGCTGCAATGGGGTGGTGCAGTAGATTTGGGGCAGATGTATTGCAAATGCACTGCGCCTGAGAATTATACTGCATTGCATTGCCACTCGTGTATTGAACGCGAAAATCCAGCAGGACATGTGCGCTCCGGAATGTATCGCACGCCCCACATGTATTGCAACCCCACAAAGTGATTGAATCCAGTCTCTTGCACCTCCCCCTTGTCGCTGGGCCCCCTTTTGGGTCAACCCGACGAGAGGAGCGAACGCAGAACACAATCCTGCACGCACACGCCGTGCTCCGCCCAGCGCCGCCCCGGGTCGGCCGCTTCCGTCCCCAGGACGCTGTTCAGGGCCACGTGGAGATTCAGATACCTCATCCAGTACCACTCCCCGCAAGGATGCACCTCGAAGAAGGAGATCGGCGCCAGCCAGTTCACGAAGCGAACTGCCTTATCGTAAATCCAATACGCTGCTGCGTGCAATCTGCTTCGGCTCGCCCAGCCGCAATCGTTGAACTGTCCGTTCAGGGCCTCGATGCCGTTGAGCTTTAGTCTCAACAGGTACGCTTCGTACTCCAGCGCACCCCGATAGGCGGCAGGTGTGTGAGGGCCCCTTCCCCCATTCCACACACGATATCTGCCCAAGAGGGACCAAACTTGTCCCTGCCTGCCTTGGTAGGACTAGCAACGTTTAGGCCTCCAAACATGAGCCAACGACCCTGCCTCGTCATCGTTCGTTCTCCTCGTCTAGCATATTCCCAACGTCCTCCGGCTCTGAGATGAGGTCCACATCCGCCACCGTGCCTCCGGACACGGAGTGGGCGTCTCCCCAGGTCTTTTGCCTAAGCCTCTGAGCCTCAATCCTCACTCCGGAGGGTTCTCCAAGGGCTCTGGACTCCAAATTCCGAAACCACGTGTGGCTTCCCGCGTGCTCCCTGGGTTTCGAGAAATGTTGCCACATGTTTTTTTGTCGGAAACAAGGAGGCTCCAACACGGGCCAAGAGCTCCCGACAAGGTGCCCAAGACGGTCCAAGAGGGCCCCGAGACGCCAAAGAAGGGCCCAAGGCGCCCAAGGTGGCCTCAAGATGGCCCAAGAGGCCTCCAAGACGCACCAAGAGGCCTCCAACAGGCCTCCTAGAGGGCGTCAAGAGGCAACACATACTGATGCCCCTAAGGTTGTGGAAGGATGTTGGCGTTCTCGCCTTTTCGGGTTTCCGACGCTCCAAGACGACCCAGGAAGCCCCCAAGACCACCCCAAAACGGCCCAAGAGACCTCCTAGAGGGCTCCGAGACGGCCTCAGAACGCCACGAAACCGGCCCGAGAGGCGCCCAAGACAGCCCAATAGGGCCCCAAGACGGCCCCGAACGGGGTCCGAGAGAGGGAGCACGAACCGAACATCTGAGACCCCCAAGAGGCCCCCAGGAGGCCCCAAGAGGCCCCCAAGAGGTCCCAAGAGGCCCGCAAGACGCCCAGAAGAGGCCCCTAGAGGCCCCAAGAGGCCCCCAAGCGGCCCCCAAGCGGCCTCCAAACTGCACCCAAAAGACACCCGAGAGGCCCCCCACGAGATCCCAGCGAACAACCAATAGGCTTCATACCCACAACCCAGGCATGGTGGCGGGATGGGCCGAAGGCCATTTGATCATAGCCGCCGACAAACACTGATGCTGCAATACGCACTCCCGTCCCAAGTAAGTCCCTCAATCGTCCACGCAAGTACTTGTCCAAGCACTGGGAACACGCGGCGGAAAGCCCAATGAACCTGCATTGTCAAAAAGCCTTCTGTGTTTGAAGTCCGAAGCACCCGCGTAGCGTCACATCAGAACAACGAGTTTGAGAGCAGGGCACCCTCCATCAATAAAAGGAATGCGCGGCGCAGAGGATCCCTTGAACGTGAACGCCCTCGTCATACAGTACGAGGGGTCCCAAGTGAGAGCTCGGGTGAAGACGCCACTCCCAACACCCCGTTAAGTGTTGACCAACTACGCCAAACGTTACAGTCTTGTCACTAGGGGGAGCAAACGAAAACAGAGTGCTTGTAATGGGACAGACCTCTCTGCGTGCACTGCTGATGCCTCAAAACATGCGGACTTAATTGGGGAAACAGCAATCATGGAATGCCCAACCTTGTACATCCGAGCGTCAGTGGAATTATGAGAGTGATACAACCTGTAAGTTCGCCTCGCAAGATGTCCGACGATCTTCCTGGATAGCTCCTAGGAGAGCTAAGAGGGTTGTAAGATAAGAAGCTGGGAGGCAAGACTACGAGAGCCCTCCTCCGAAGATCCTGGTCGAACATCCCCGCAACGGCTTGCTTGAGGCTTGAGCGTGTCCCGGTAAACGTTTTCCTACTCGTTCCAAATATGCATGCCAGAAGCCTTGCCGCGGCTCCGTCGAAGCTCCTTTGGAGCTCTCGCGAAGCTCCTTTCCCCAACAAGCACGCTCCCCAGGCATGCGTTCCAGCGTCCTTGCATGCGTCTCCCAACGCTTGCAGGCTCCCCAGGCATGCTTTCCAACGTATCGTCCAGGTGTTGGAAGCTACAAGTGCACCTGTGAGTACCGCAATTGTAAGTGTTGTCTTCGGTGGAGCTCTCTTTGGTGCCACGGTACGTGTAAGGAATGTACCAGCATGGGTGGTGTGAGCGCATGCAAACGCTGTCATTGGGATTTTCGGTGGGGGTCCCTATGGGGCGACGAATCGTGTAAGGGTATACCGCAATGGGTGCGGCGGGCGCATGCGAACACCGCCACTGCGGCCTTCACTGGAGCTCCAAGGAACGATCGAGGGATGTATCCAAAATTGCGGCGCGGACGCGTCTGAGTGGTGAGCCGATAATGGTTGGAGCGGACGCCTGCGAACGCAGCCAGTGTGGCCTTCAATGGCGCTTCCCGTCGGACCGACGTGTGATAGGCGTGCCAAAAGAAGCGGTGCGGGCGCATGCAGGGGGGGGGGGAGTCCGCGCGCGCAGCCCACAGCCACTGCCGCAACGGAAGGCGCAACGCAAGGGAGGGGGGCCGCCACGCGCTCGGCGGACCTGGCCCACTCTGCATGGAAAACCGCAAAGCAGCGGGGCGGGGGCCGCGCGGGCGCACAGCCCACGGCCCATTCTCATGGGAAACGCAGCGCAAAGGGGTGAACACTTCCGCGCCCACGGTGGCCCTGGCTCATTCTGCATTGGAGTGCGCAGCGCAAGGAGGTAATGGCCGCGCGCGCAAGCGCTCGCGCAGCCCATGGCCCATTCTGCATGGGAAGCCACAACACAAAGGGGTTGGGGCGGCACCGCGCGCGCGGCGGCCTTAGCCCATTCTGCTCTGGAAGACGCAGCGCAGAGTCCCATTTGCATAGGGAAAGCCAATGCAAGGGCACACTGTGGGCACGTTGACGATACTTCACTGTGGATGTGTACTGGGTGCAGTCCCACTGCAGTGTTACCATTGTGTACCGATGCGCCACGCACCTCACCTGCCCACCCCTCTGTTGCGGTAGAACCAGCGGCGCCTCACCATTGCCCTCCAGCTGATTCCAAGCCCCGAGAAACCTCTTACCTGCAACCCAGGCGCTATGGCGAGATGGGCCGAAGGCCAATCGATGTTTGCCCTGGGTAATTGGTTCCCCGCCGCGCGTAACCAGACGCTGCGATCACTAACAATCCCCCAGGTCGCGCCGACACACTTTCGCGGGGGGGCGGTTGGGCGGTGTCCGGCTGCGGAGCGCCTCCCGATCACTGTCGCCCAAGGAATTGATGCGCTCGAACTCGTCCCGCCAGCGGTGCATCGTCCGGCTGCCGTGGGCGGCGGCGATGAAGGAGGTCTCGAAGAGCATGCCGAATTGAGGATGTGGGGAGGAAGGAGGAGGAGGAGGAGGAGGAGGAGGAGGAGGAGGAGGACGAGGAGGAGGAGGAGGAGGAGGAGGAAGATGAGGAGGAGGAGGAGGAGAAGGAGGAGGAGGAGAAGGAGGAGGAGGAAGAGGAACTAGAGGAGGAGAAGGTGGAGGAGGAGGCAAGACAAAACTGGGGCGGGGGAGGCCCGCGTGCAACCACGTCTTGCAGCCAGAGACGGACACAATTACCAACATCGGGAGGCGAGGGAGGGAGGGAGAAGAGGGGAAGGAGTAGGATGAGGAAAAGTCCCTGCGATGGCTGGGCAGACGCCTATCAGCAGGAGCGGCACTGCAACTGCACGGCTGTGAGACACATAAAACAGCAACGCGCGTTCCCTGTACACCGCGACGCCCCCTGCAACAGCAAGATTGCCAGAGGAGGCTGTGCGGCGACTGACCACACAGGCTGAAATGGGCGGCCTGTGCAAGGGCGAAGAGCACACATTGCAGGACAAATCTGTTGTTCGCGTGCGCGCAAAGAGCCAGGCCTCAAAGTAGGAGCTCGACCACAAGACACCTCCCACAAGAAAGCCAGCTCTGAGACCCCACGACGTCAATTCCTTGGGCGTGGGAGCGTCACGCCCTCCATAGCAAAACCATCGAAACCTAAGGCGCCTTGGAGGCAAGCAGGGCGTTTCTTGGCAAGGGGTTCCTCTGCGCCCAATTTCAGAACATGGCCCCCGGAAACACTGCAGGCTCCGCAGTCGCGGCCGGGGGCCTCTGCAAGTCTCGACCTCCGCGCCCCGCCCGCCCGCGCCGCCTCCACCGCCCCCCCCCGCCCCGCGGACGGCAGCGCGCAGCGGGTCGGGCGCGCCTGCGCCATCTCCGCCGCCGGGGCCACCTTCCGGACAGGCAGCCTGCAGGGAGACTTGACTGACCTCCGGGGAAGGGGAGGGGGGCCTCGGGGGAGCAACGGAAAAACCAATCGGCCAGCCCTTGTCTGAGAGCGCTCCTCGCGCGCCTTGCTGACACTGAGCGCGCGGGGCGCATCAGCTCTCCAGGCGGCGAGCCCACGCGTTGCATCGCCGCCTGTGCTCGGACAGCCTGCCAGAAAAGATAGCTCGCGCGCCGTAGTCTCAATCGGCAGCATAGTTTTCGGAGGCTCTCGAAGCTGCGGGGTCCCGCCCTCGGGTTCGAGCGCTTTCGTCGGCCCAGCAGCAGACTGCTCAATCCAAGCAAAAACGCGACGCGGCCCTCCGAAAACATGACGCGCGCATATCCTGCAACACCTTTGCGGCCGGGCGACTGCGGGCGCCTGCCTTCGCGAAAAAGTCGGCCCGCTTGTTGCCGGGAAGGCGGGAACATCAAGCGACTCGCCAGCCAGCAGGCCCTCCGTCCGGCGGCGCCCTGGGGCCCGCTCGAAAAAGAGAGGGGTTTGACGCTCGCGCACGGCGCGCGCCTTTTTCCAAACAACCGCACGCTTGGCCCGCGATCCTCCCGCGGTGGCAATCCACTCGCGCTCGTCTCTCGCGAGGTTGGAACGGCCTGAGACGATGCGGATGGGCCGAGCTGCAACCTCCAGAGCTTTCTTCATCAGCTGCGTGGTGCACGGGCCCGTGGGCGGTCTGAAACTGGCCAGGCTAGGCCCCGTAGATCGCGCGCACAGGCATGCTAGAAGCATCTGTCTCGACCCGCAGGCCAACCACGCCCGGCAAGGCCTGGCAGCGATGAGGCTTGGTCCGGGCCGCGCGGACACCGCCCAGCCCCGAACTCCCCGCTGGTTTCCCCGCCCCAACCACGGGATGGCAATCGTTGGCAGGCCCAGGGGAAGGCGGCGAGGGCGGTGGCCCATAGCCACGGAGACGGTTGTCCTTGCCTTCGGGCTGATCGCATCGCTCGGTCAGAACTCGCATGTGCTCGAGGACGACATTTGGCGGCCTGCCCCCCCCCCACAGGGTGCGAATTCTTCGCGACCGTGCCGCTGCGGCGTTTCCGCGCCCAGTTCAGCATCGCAGGCAAAGCGCATTGCGGATCCGCGAAGCTGGATAATTCGAGGCCTGACTGAGGCCCAAACTCCCGCGCCCCAGAGAACCCTGAGGGCCCCACCCCTGCCGAGCCTCGTTGGACTGGCGAGCATGCCGCAGGGCCCTTTTCCAGCAAAGCCCCCCCTGCCGACTGCGGAAGGCGCTCTGGGCTCAGAGCCGGCTGCCTTCTGCGAGCGCCCGCTTGGCCCGAGCGTCGCCAGGGCGCTCCCATAGCAAGTCAATCTGGCCACCGCGATCGGCTGCGCCCGGGCGAGACAGCATGAACCAACCCACGCGCAGAAAGGACACCCAATCAAGACGCGCACAAGACGCGCGGTGCTGAATTTGATCTTCGATCGCCGCCCATGCCTCGAGCAACTGATTTCGTTTCGCGCGCGAGTCCCGACTGCAAGGGACAAGCCCATGCAGAATGGGCGTAGCAACGTCAACCACACGCTCATGCGCGTTATCCTTCTGGCCGGCTAGGTACCTAGCACGGTGCGAGACGCGGCTTGGGTTTCGCCCCGTGCATTCCATCAGCGAAGGTCCGATGCGCCCGAACGGGCGAGTCGGCGGCGCCGGGGGCCCCTGGCCTGCGTCCAGCTGCAGCGATGGGCCCCATTCCTCAAAGGGCCTTCATGGCCTGCGCCGCCGACGGATATGCGCTCCAAACCTTGCAGGTCTGCGACGTCGACGTCTTGACTCGGGCCTTCTCCTCGGCCCGATGGGCCGGGCGCGTTGAGCGCTTGGCGCAAACCCCAAACTGTTTATCGGCCTACTAAGGCTGGCTCGACCCGCGGCGGCACCGGCCACGAGCCCGCTCTCAGAAGCACGTGCCAACAAACCATGGCAGAATGCGCGCGCAGCGCAGGTCAGACGGCCAGCCTGGCCCCCCGAGCCCCCGCCCCCCCCCCCCCGCCCCCCCTCGACGCCGAGGTGCAGGCTGGTGAACGCTGGCATCGTGCGCTAGAGCTTGCGGGGTCACTGCCGGGCATTGAGCCACCGCCTGCACTTGCGCGCGCCTGCCACCCATTTTGAGCGCGGCGGGCGTCGCGGAGCAACCGACCAACATGCCGGCGGAAGAACGCGCTGGGCGCAAGATGGCGGAGGAAGCCTTCACGCGCCGAAGTTCCCAGGTAGGTATGGATCGCCACGCGCGCTCTAGCCTCATCTAGCAGCGGCGGCAAACTTGCCTTCCTATAGCTCATCATCGCGCCTACGAACACCGAAGGCGCATCGTGAAGGGCCAGCCATCAGCACCCGTCTCTGGCCCCCTAGCTGGGGAGGTTGCGCCTCTGCGCCCGCGCGCAACTTGGCGCCGACCACCTCCTGCCGAGGCAAACCTCGCTCCATTCCCGAAATAATCTGCGGCCCAATCTCCGCAGCTGACGCTGACATCTGGGGCGGTCTATCAGAGATGGCACAGGCGTTGCCCTCGATGGCTTCGCGCAGGCCCCCGATGCCCGGTTAGCTCAAGCACTCTAGCCCCTGCTCGAACATCGCGGGCGCCCGAGGCTCTTCCTCGCGAAGCATCTGCCTTTCTACTTGGGCCCTTGCGAATAAGACGCCCGAGATCGCTCGCGCGTTTGTGGCGCCGCTGAAGCGCCGCCTGATCAACCCAGCCCTCCAGTTGCCCAAGAGACCCTGTCAACCTAACAATGGCCTCCGTGGCCCATCTCGGGCGCCTTGCCCACCTAGCAGCGACGCGCCGGGCCCTCTCGGCCTTAGACGCGCAGTCGCGCTTGCGCAGGGGGCCCCGCAGGGGCCCGGCGAGGATCAATCCAACAGGCCTAGCAGAGCGCCTAAAAGCTGAACCATTCACTGAATCGCGGAGGCGCGGCAAACCGAACTGCAGTTGCGCGGCCGCAGCGCCCCAGGCCACTCGCGACGAAGAGATGTCAGCAAAGCCATTCCACGACATCATTGACTACGCGCCGCCGCCCGGGAAAACGCAAACATCCTGCGGCTTGCGCACTGGGAACATGCCGGGGGCCTTTGCACATCCTGGAAAAGACGAGGGCGCCCGTGCCCGTCGGCGGCGCGCGCGCTGGCGCGCGAGGAAACGCGCCACTTGCAGACGAAGCGCCGAACTCAAAGATGATATCTAGTAACCAATGCACCTCCCTGGGAGGCTATGCGCGCGCGGGCGCCGGCGAAGCTCCAGTGGCGCCTCCGGGGCCGCGAGACCATCTCTGGCGACCGAGGTCGGCGGGCCCCTTCATTGCAAGCGCCGGCGACAAGCCGTCGGCATCTTGCGCGCGGTTCAGGCCCCAAACGCAGCCGTGTCCTTCGCGCAATAAAGCAGCGCAGTCCTCAAACCAACGTTCGATCGCGAACAAGTCGAATGAAACCTGCACAAAGCCGCCAAGCACTCCCGAGCGAACTGGCGCGAGCAAGTCTCTGCCGCTAGCGAAGGGCATGGCGCTCATGAGCGGCGGGCGCCTTAGTCGCCATCGCGCTTCCCTTTGCTATAACTGCAAACTCTGACGGCGGTGCGCCAGCTTTGCCCCGCAAGGTGGCAGGGGCCCGCGCCCCCCGCCACCCCGCGCCCTGCGCCGGGCATGGCCCAACATATTTGCCGCAGTGCGATGCTCGTGAATCGCCGCGAGCGCGCGGCTTCAAACGCTGGGGAAATATTGCGCATGCTTCTAATCCGAACGAGTGGAAAAGGGGGATGGTACCACTGGCAATTGGGCGCTCTGCCTGCCGGGCAATCGGCCGCGCGGCCCTCTGGGGCACGGTCGCCCCGCTGCTCGGGGCTGCCTCGCACCCGCCCGCGCCCCGAACAGGAAGCTGGATCGGGGACTGGGCGCTGGCCGCCCGCGCGCCCTTGGCCAGTCTCTCCCGCCCGCCGCCGCGATGATAGGTCAGGCCTGCATGCCCCCACCACCCTGATATTCGCCAGCAGCCCCGCCGATCTGGCAACGCTGGCCCGGCGGCTCCACCCCCGACGAATCGAGGGCCACCGACCCCCGTGCTCGCGGCAGCAATCCGCCCATTGGCTGCGCGAGCGAGAGGCGCGGCGTGGGGCGGCCGTCAACCGCCCGCGCGCCCGCGGCCTGTAGCCCCGGCCTTTCGCCGCGACTCCTGACAGCGCTGAGAGCGCCATGCGCTGACCAGCCAAAGTCCGCGCAGCCGAAATTGGAATGCTCATTCGGCAACTCCGCCCCAGATACCTGAAGGGCCTGGAGGTGTAGCGTTGGGCAGGGCGTCGACCGCCCGCCCGTCCGCGGGCCGCCGCCCGCGCCTGGCGTCGCGGCCCCTGGCTGAGCCCCCAGCGCCTAGAGCCGACCCTCCGAACTGGAAATTAAGCGGCACCGCTAATCTGGGAATGCTCGCGCTGCGCACTGGGCCCCTCCGCTGCTTGGCCACCGGGAGCCGCGGACGCGCTATTGCACGTGACTGCAATCCGTCCGTCGGCGGCGCGAGCAGGAGGTGGGGCGCGAGCCAGGGCGTCGGCCGTCCGCGCGACAGCGGCCTGACGCCAACGCCCTCTACCGCGGCCCTTGGCCGAGCGGGGGTCGCCCTGCGCGGGCCCGCCGAACTGGGAATATCCCGACCCGAACAACTGGCACCGATCAAGCCAGCCGCCGCTCCTTAGCTCGGCATCCCCGACACCCGCAGCAGGGAGGCAACTCCCAACAATCAAGAATGCCACGGGGAACCATGAGTGGTGGACCTTGGCACGCTGCCCTGCCCTCGAGCCCTCCGCGCAGTCTGCCAGCTTTCCTGACGCTGTCTCTGACCGACGACTCGACGGCGTCTACGTCGCTCTTGATACTGGCTTTGGCTCGGGACTCTCGCATCTCATCCAAGCCCGCCTCGTCATCTTTCGGGATTGGCACGTCGATTCCTCAATGTGCGGGTGCGCCCCCGCCTCCGAACTGAGGTGTTTCCGCTTGGCCTCCTAGGGTTTTGGCTT